TAAACTAGAAGTTATTAAGATCTAAAAGCATAGTTTGGATTTCTCTGGGAACCAAATTATATTTTTGTGTAAAATAAGAGAGGAATCATTGGTTCTATTAACAAATATTAGATTTAGAACATTTTATTTTTTGAATCAGGGTTGCACTCTGTTACCCAGGCTGGAGTGCAGTGGCTCACTGCAGCTTCAACTCCTGGGCTCAAGCAATCCTCCTGTCTCAGGCTCCCAAGTAGCTGGGACTACAGGTGCACGCCACCACATCTGGCTAATTTTTAAAATTTTTTGTATACTCAAGGTCTCACTACGTTGCCCAGGCTGGTCTCAAACTTCTGGGCTCAAGCAACCCTCCCACCTCAGCCTCCCAAACTACTGGGATTACAGGCATCAGCCACCATGATGGACAGATTTAGAATATTTTAAAAGAACACTGAAAACTGCAACAACATTGTTTATTGTTTTCTTTGAAAGAAACCCAATAAAAGAAAATTAATTTTGAAGATTTGACATATAACCCAACCTAAGAAAGGACTACTATACATTTGTCAAAAAATATCTGAACCTAAAAAATGTTTTAGCTCAAGATAAACCAGTGATAGGTAACGTCAATCTTGCTTTAGGAAAATACTGTTAATTGGTGTTCACGTGTTTTAAATTCTCTATAAATTTATCCCTGCCTTGAAAATGATGATATTTTCTTCTTTTGAATTTTGAAAAAGCTAAATGATGGAGTGAAACTTTGGCAAATTGAAACAAAGACCAACTAACTAATTTAGACCATTGAATGGATCTTTAAAAACCTGTCTCTTATCCATTTAGCTTTGATTTATTTACTTTGTATAGATTATCAGTTTCAGTTATTTGATTTGGCAATGCACAGCTGGAGAAAAAGAAAAATTTAAAAGATAAATCTAGATACTAAAAAAACTAGATATTTGGTACAGAGAAGACACTGTTATAGCATGGTGGGTTTTAAAAACAAAAGCTTTTCTCTAGGTCAAAGAAATAAAAAAGTCAGACAGTTATTTCTTATCTAAATCTTTATTAAAAGAAAAAACCAAATAGGTTTAAAACAGAGTAACAACAAATTTCATTAAATATTAAACATTTTAATTATCAAAGATTTTGAGACAATATGTTCCTAATATTTCTGCACAGCAGAAACACACTGATTATAGAGCCCAGGCTGTCATGCACTCCTGTGAGTTTATTTTTGGCATAAAAGTATCTAAAGTCACATAGAAACAAATGTGATAATAGATAAACTGAGAGCAACTTATTGTTGATTGATTCTCAAAGCTTTCACAAATTATCATTATGTGATTGACATTCCCTCCGGGTGAATACTATTATGGACTCTTTCTGTAACACTGATAACAGACGGAATTGATTTTCTTAAAAGTTAATAGTACTAGTAAAAGCATTTAAAACTGGATTTGAAACTATGTTCCTGTTTATATCAGCATAATACAATTAACATATTAGAAGTAAACTGATTATTTCGTATCGAAAGTCAGAAAATTTCACGTTCAGAACAGGTTTTGACGAAAATAAGCAATCGTTTAAATTGGAGTTTTTCAGCACACAACATCTGTGAGCGCCCTGTCCAAGGGTAAAGTCTCCCTTTGTAATTCTGAGAAGTTTCCCTTTCCAATCTGTGTAAAACACTGAGAAAGGGAGCATTCTACCTAGTGTACTATAGCAAAGGTTACAGTCTTAAACTTCTTTTAGTTAGAAAAAGAAAAGGCGACCCAGCAAGTGTTCTTGCCGGGTTTTTTCTTGCGCGTCGGACACGTTAATGAATGTCCACGAGGCACGAGGGAAATTGCTGAGCTGCACGAAGCTCCCTCTGTAACGGTGAGGGTATCCCAAGCATAGCAAACGACAAGTGGTTTCCAACCAGTGAGCTAAGAGGGACACAAGTGCAAGAAGACCTGTTTTATCACTAAACATCGCAGGCTTTAGTGTTTGTTGTTGTTGTTGTTGTTTTAAGCAGTGTCTGTAAACTTGCCCACAAAAGCTGTGGGATATTAAACAGCCAGTAAGGCACTTTGTCCGAGGGCGAAGTAGCAAAGGCTGGATGATTGGCGATTTGTTTCACAGGAAGCATTCTACACTTACGGAGCGAACTCTGCGTGGGGCGGCTCTTCACTGATGTGTTGTTCCACAGGAGTGGGAAAAGCTTTGACATTTTAAATTTCACTTCGTTTTGACCGATTTTCCCTGCAGAAGAAGACTGTTAGCTGTGATTTTAAAAAATACATGAGGAGCTGTCAATTTAAATGACGTATCCATCTTCAATCTAATATTTAAAAGCATATTAACACATTGAGGAGTATTTTCAAAACATCCAAGCCACTCTATTTAGAAATGAATTACAAAACAAAAGGTCTCAGTATAAAAATGTCTCATGTTATTAACAATTCCCTTGCGACTTCTGATGGCTTCACATATTACAGTATAAGCTTTGGTATAAAACATGCAAATGTAAGCCAACAAGGTCGTGAATACAGTGTCCCTAAACACAAAGCACTTCTGAAACAAGTGTTGCCCAGACGCAGCGGATGGGGACAAGGTGACACACCGCTGGAGGAGGACCAGCTCGCTCTTCTACGGGGCCTCAGTTTTTGAATTCTTGAAAGTCTTCAGCAGAGACTGACCCATGTAATAAGGTCTTGCGGCAGAACCATCGTTTCTTTCTAAGTCTTCCACTAGGAGGAAGGATGGTACAGAGTGAGTTTCAAAGCAAAACCGTAAGAGAAGTCACATCGCCATCTGCCGCACACTCGCTTTATAGCAGCTCAAAGCACGACACATTTTTAACAGCGTAGTTTGGCATCAACATTATTGTAAACACAGTTATGAGAAAACAATCAGCCCTTGGTATTACGTTCAGCACGCTAGTATCTCGTTCTTTGTAACAGGTCCGGTTCTGCCAATATTGTTCGTCTCTCAGTTGCATGATTGAGAAAATCACTTTTACCTTTTTCTCAACTGACATTCTGAATTACCATCTTTGCTCAAAACACATTTTGTTTTGCTATTAACAATTTAGATAGTATAGCCTGGAAAAACAAGATTTGCAAAATTTTACACTTCGAATTCATCAACTGCAAGTTTTGAGGAAAATTGTAAAATTTTACATTTCGAATTCAACAACTGCAAGTTTTGAGGAACATTGCTCTGTTTTTTCACAGTTATTTAATTGCTTTGTATAAAATGGCTTCTAAATTTCTTCTCAAAAACAATGTTCATTTTAACTCTACGTATCACACACAAAAGCAATAAATAGATAACATTTTTCTGACTAGAAATTAGCCCATACTATAGTTAAATAAACAACTAGTTTCTCATGTTGATTTATATCTTATTCAAGCAATTTTCCAACTGTGATGTGTATCAGAATCAACTAGAGAACATTATAATAATTCACATGGCGGCCCACATCCAAACAATATGTCCTAATCTCTTGGATGGGGCCTCGCATAGATATTCATGACAAATTCTCAGGTAAAGGCCACTATTCTGCTCGTTCTTTGTTGTGGCCCCTGTGCTGTTGAATAATAACATAATAACAGTAGTCTAGAAAGAGAAGCTATCATTCTTCCCTGCACCATGCTTCAAGGAGAATGAGAATGGAGAAGGCTCTTTGCCAAGGTGTGAAGCCAAGTAACACTTTAGAACACAGTAACCTCACGACCGCAAGTCCAGAACAAGTTGGCAGTCATTTAAAGGACCAACATTTAAAAAATCTTCCCTATTCATTGGCTCCTTGCTATTAACTAATCTGCCATGGAGCCCATCTAAATCTATGTTCCTAAGCTTCAGAATAATTAAGTAAATTGGTGTTTATATCAACTTGTAATAAAACAACTTCTAACTCTTTTTCTTGACTTTCCGGGTCCTAGTCAGATCCACATATTAGATCAACATGTTAGTTTCTGTCCACACAGAAATAATCCTGATATGCAAGTCTCGTGTAAAAGCCAAGAGGTGAACCGATTCAGTGCTTCCCCTGGGTACCTTTTTGCACTGTTAGCACATTCACACACGGGATGGAGAGGCAAGCATGTGCGTGTCGGATGCGTGTTTTTGCTCTGCCGTGCAAGACTTAGGCATGACTGCCAGAGACCTCAGGCCAGCAGGTTGGTGACAACTCTCTAGCGCAGAGTGAGAGGCTTCCCAACCTGCGGCGTGCTCCTTGTGAAGTACTGAATGCAGTGCCTTGTGGAAGGCCGACAGGAGATGTCCTTGGGTAAAACCTAATGTGTCTTACTGGCCTTTCCTGTTTCCTCACTGAAAGTTGGGCCAAAACTAAACCTCTTACAGGACAAAGCCACACAATCTCTTCAAACTAGAAACATAGGTATGCTTGTGAAAATATGTAATCTCTCATCTGAAACAAATTCATACTGATTGGCTGTATGTGGAAATGGGAAATTTGGATTAAAGACAAAAGGCTTAAGTTATGTAGCGATTTCAGTCTTGTTCACAATATTTTCATAGTGGCCAGAGGTTCACATGATTGGCAAAGACATTCCAAACTCAGATTTGACTTGGGTATACATAGAATTCCACTACCATGGCATGGGCCACGAAGCTTCCAGAGTCATTTTTACCCAGTAATGCTCTCTGTACAGCCTGTGTAACATTAATATCTATATGCTTGTTATAGACTTGACTCACTTACTGAAACAGACTTCCTAGGGAACCATTAATACACGTTTAATCACAGTTTAGAAGAGTTGTCCACCAGCTTGAACAGTGTAAATATAACCATAGCACCATATTTACAAATGTAGTACCCTATGCTGGTTAACTATAGATCACTATTTTTATGGCTAATTGATTACACATTTTGAGTGCTTTCAAAAATCGCCTGAATATCCTTTACAAATATACACTTATAAAAAGAAAGGCTATCAAGGTGCTGCAGTGACAACAGCACGCCGAGTTACAAAAGGTATTAAAACACTTTCTGCTATAGATTTTTTTAAATGTCAGACATTGACACGTTCCTCGTCAGCTGAGACCACAGTCTATAAAGTAGACAGAAGCTACTGTCATCAGATGTCTGACACCTGGGACCAGATGCTGACTCTGTTAGCAACATGCACAGAAATTTCACATCACGCGACAGCGACATTTCCAGATTACAATGGACCTAATTTACAAAACCTCTACTCAAAAGCGAGCGACACGATTTGGAACCTTTCTACTCTTTCTGCTTCTGAGGACCTAGTTGCTTCTTGACCAGAATTCTGTGCAGGTTGGGGCTTATGAAGTAGGGTTTTTCTGCAGATCCATCATTTCTCTCCAGATCTTCACCTGTGTTTGCAGCAGCCAAAGCAGGCCAAAGCAGCAAGCCGCAGCAGAACAGTCAGACACATTTTTATGAATTGGAGAGTCGAGCAGAGAAAAATCAGAGAAGTCAGGGTTAGAAAGTCAAACATAAGACACGTGAGTGCAGTTAGGCTGCTGGTGTTGGACAAGCCAAGAAGCCTCAACCTCTGCAGGAAACACGGACACTTCCTAAGGCCCTCCCACACCCCAAGAGGCTTATGGCGATCGTGTGAGGTCAAGAAGATGCTCCGTGTCCTTTCAAAAGGGTCATCTTTAACTCCTGTGACTGTTCATCTCAGAAGGACATACACCGCCCCGTCCTTAGGATGAAGCCGAATAGAAAGAACATGAATCCTGTGGCAAACGTGGGATCATAACTGAATTTCAGGGTCCCAACTCACTCTCAAGAGTAGCCTAGCAGGTGAAAAGACCAAGGCCCCAGAAGGTGAACCAACTCTGCGGAAGCTGGAAGCCCTGAGACCAGCGGATGAGACAGGGACCCGGCCTCTTGCACCCAGTCCTGCTGCCGCACTACTGAACTCAGCCATCCTGTCCTAAATCCTCCCAGTCTTCCTCAGATTCTATTCTAAAGCTAATCCCGGTATGTTCTGACTTCTGCAATAAGTGAATTTGCTGAGGCCACTGTTAAGAAAAACGGTGACATGTTTGCTGAGCCCCCACCAGCTGAGTGGCAGGCGGGAGACGCCCCAGAATTGTGCTGAGAATCAAAGATAAGTTTGCCTGGGATTAAGCCTCCTGCAGACACACACAATTCCCCGTAGAGAGTAGCTACACTCTCTTGGGAATGGTTGGATCACTGGCTTATAGACGTTTACACTGGACTTCCCAGTGACCCTCCTCATGTACAAAATGGAAAGCTAAGGGGAGAACGGGATGGGTACGGAACATTTTTGTTCTTTTGTTCTTAATCCTGATTCTTTCCAATAGTGCCCCTTCTCCGGTGGGTTTCGTCTGCTACGGTTTTGCTTTCCACAGTTTCAATTACCCGAAGTCAACAGCGGCCCAAAAACACGAAATGAAAAGTTCTAGAAATAAACAATGCACGGGTCTTAAGTTGTGTGCCATTCTAAGCAGTGATGACATCTCACACTGTCAAGCTCTGTCAGGCCAGGGGCCGTGGACCCTTCCTTGTCCAGTGTCCAGGTTGTCTGTGAACCCTGCTCCTAGGTCCCTCAGTGATCTTCTCAGTTATCAGATTGCCTGTGCCAGGATCACAGTGGTTCAAGTCCCCCTGATTTTACTTAAGATTGGCCCCAACGTGTAAGCATGGTCATGCCAGAAGTTCACATATACTAGAGAGAGGCTGTAACTTGCTTCCTCTAAGTGAAAGAGTGAAAGCTCTTGACTTCATAAGCAGAGGAAAACAAAGTCTTACGTGGCAGACGTGAGGATCGGTGGTAAGAACAAATATTCTGTCTATGAAATTGTGAAGAAGACAGAAAAGATTTGAGCTAGTTTGCAGATGCAGCGTGGACTGCAGAAGTTACTGTCACGGTGCATGAGAAGTGCTTTAGTGAGGGTGGAGAAGGCATTACATATGTGGGGAGAAGAGAGGAACAGAACTGTTTCGATGGATGGCACTCAGGTTTGGTCCTATCAGAGGTTTCAGGCATCCCCCCGGGGGTCTTGGAATGCATCCCTCACAGATAAGGGAGGATTACTATGTCACATCATATGTCGCATGTCTATATCATTTTCGATGTATATAAGATATCTACATCATATGGAGACAGCCACTTCTAGACATGCCCCCTTGGGATCCTATCCATTTGCCATTGCGTTACACAGTGTGAATTGGCCCTAAGAATCCCCCAAACCTAGCTCCCCACATCCAGTTACGTTCTCCGTTCTGTCAACAGAGCACAAGAGCCCATCACTGTAATGCACTTTAAAACATGCAGAAATGAGAAAAATAATTTCAAGCCAGCACCATGTCACGAAGCCTGAGTTTCCTTTCCGTAGTTGACTCTCCTGTGCTTGGCTAACTCCATTCTCTCAGCTGCTAATTTTTTTTTTAATAATTTTGTAATTTTATAATTTCTCCCCAAGCCTTATTGAGGTATAATTTTTTTCCCTCCAATTTTAAAGGATAATTGGCAAGTAAAAACGGTAGGTATTTAAGGTGCACAATGTTTTGGAATGCGCATGCATGGTAAAATGCCACCCTCAAACGGATTAACATATCCATAACCTCCCATAGTTATCTTCTGGTGTGTGGGGGGCAAATAGTTAAGATATTGGCAATTCCAAGTAAACAAGACAGGATTATTAGCTCTGGCTAGGGCTGCCCCTAGAGCTCCATAATGTATTCGTCCTGCATAATGGGAAGTTTGTCTTCTTTGAGCATCATCTCACCATTTTGTTCACCCTTGGATCTCTGGTCATCGTAACACTTCTCTTCTCTGTTTCTATGGGTTCACATTTTTGGATACCACATATACAAGACGGCCCCAACAAAACCAGGAATCTAGTTATTAAAAATTGTGTACTTATTCTTAATATTTAAACTTCAGTCACCCTCAAAGTCCTCTCCATTGGATGCAATATACCTCTCTAGATGCTTTCCCCACTGCCCAGAACAGTTTTTGAACTCGCCAATTTGGATGCCTTTTAGTGCCTTTGCTGTTTTTTGTTTCACCTCTTTTACAAGTGTAAACATTTCCCTTGGGGGGCTTTTTTCATCCAGGGAAACAGAAAAAGAAGTTGCTTGGAGTGAGACTGGGTGAACAGGAAGGGCGGGGCATGGGAGTCATACTGTTCTTGGTCAAAAACTGCTGAACACTCCGTGCCATGCGGGAAGCTACACTTGTAAATCACTCATCATGAAACGGGCAAATGTGTTGAAAGAATCTCCACACAAAAAAATTCACTGAAGCCGAACACAACGTCTCACAACAACACTAGCTGGTCCACGAAGGCTGATGGGTTCCTAGAACACTGACCTAGAGGCAGAAGCCTGCACTCCAAAGCCTGCACTCCAAAGGAGCCTGCCCTCCAAAAAACGATTCTGGTTTTTTGGGGACCCCTCTCATAAGATCATGAAGCATATGTTTCTCCGCATCTGACTTATTTCTCAGTCGTTAGGTTGAGAGAGCCTCGCTAAGCAATGTCTCTTTCCAAATACACATGTTTTGTGGCTGCAGCCAGGTAACAGCAAATCCACCAGCAGCTAACGATGGGGGTCTTCACCTTTCAGTTACCCACCGAAGGGGAAAGCACACATGCTGAATACTTACAGAAGCAGATGAAAATGGTTTCAACACACATTGCATAGACGCTGAAGAACCCATGTGCAATCAGGTAAGACCCCAAAATGACAGTCTGTTAAATGGATAAGGGAGAGAACCAACATGTCATTTACTCCGTCCAGAAAAGCAATACTACAGCTGTAAATGAAAACCCGAGGAGACAGTCTTGAAGTACTCTATGTTGGAGAAGATTTCCACCCAGAGACCCATAAATGCAATGCTAATGTCTGGCAAGCTTTGTACTGAGATTGACACAAGATGTGTTCCATTACCTGCCCGTTTTCTTCCTGCCATCCTCAGGGCCCAACAAAAACATCCCTGTTTTAGGAACTAGTACCCCAAGGCAGTTAAGCATTAGGGGTTAAGACACATTGCCTGGGGTGTGACTCACAGCTCGGGTCTTCAACCAGTGAATCAGCCTCTCTGTGCCTCCTATATACAACTGGCAATGGGAAAGTGAGGATGTGAGTCATGACGGTAGTTGCTGCATATGGATTAAATGAGCGAATATATCATAATATGAGGGCCCCCCAAAATGAATTTATTTGTTGAAAAATTGTATTTATTCTTTAAACTTGTCACCTTTAAGGTGCTCTCTCTATCTGAGGCAATATACCTATGGAAACTCTTTCTCCACTGCTCAAAACAGTTTTTTTTTTTTTTTAGTTGGAGTCTTACTCCGTCGCCCAGACTGGAAGGCAGTGGCCGCTCCCGGCCACCGCAGCCTAGACCCGCTGGGCTCCGGCGATCCTTCCGCCTCAGCCTTCCAAGGAGATGGAACTACAGGTGCGCGCTACACGCCCGGCTAATTTTTGATTTATTGTAGAGATGAGGTCTCGCCAAGTTGCCCAGGCGGGTCTCAAGCCCGCGGGCTCAGGCCATCCACTCACCTCAGCCTCCCAAGGTGCGGGATGACAGGCTGAGCCACCGAGCCCGGCTTCAAAACAGTTTTTGAACTCATCCATTTTGATGCCTTTTAGTGCTTCTGCTGTTTTTTGGTTCAACTCTTCCACACTGTCAAATTGTTTCCTTCTGAGGACTGTTTTCATCCGGGGAAACAAAAAATGTCGCTCAGGGCACCATCAGGTGAACCGAGAGGGTGGGGCACGGGGGTCGTGTCATTTTTTTATCAAAAACTGCTTCACTCGGCACGGTGTGGGCAGGTGCGCTGGTAAATCATCCGTCATGAAATGAGCAAACACATCGAAAGAATCTTCAAAAAAATTCATTTGTGGCTGGGCTCAGTGGCTCAGCCTGTCATCCCAGCACTTTGGGAGGCTGAGGTGAGAGGATCACCTGAGCCCGCGGATTCGAGACCAGCCCAGGCAACTTGGCAAGACCTAGTCTCTACAATAAATTAAAAAAATTAGCCGGGCGTGGTAGCGCACGTCTGTAGTTCAGGCTACTTGGAAGGCCGAGGCGGAAGGATCGCCAGAGCCCAGCGGGTCGAGGCTGCGGTGGCTGGGAGCGGCCACTGCACTCCAGTCTGGGCAACAAAATGAGACTCCAACTCAAAAAAAAATAAAACAAATTCACTTAAGCCAGAGGTAGCCTCTCACAACAACGCTAGCTGGTCCGCGGATGCCGATGGGTTCCTAGAACACTTACCTAACAGGGGAAGCCTGTTCTACAAGATAAAACTGGGATTTTTCAGTCCCCCTTTGTAGAGACCACTGGGCTCCACCCAGACCTCCAGAGGTCTTGTCCATCCCCAGCTGTTAGAAATGTCAGCTGCTAATGGCTCAGTTGCTTTCCTCAAGAGGAACTGCCCTCCCTGCAGGGGAATGTCCTCGCCCAAGGTCACACCATCTTCCGGGGTCAGCTCAGAGCCGACTGCCACCTGATCCAGCACACAAGGCCTGGCTCCTCTGCCAGAAGTTCCTGTCATGGAGGCCTGGCTGTCACTGCTGCGTGGCTTAGCACCTGCTGCCCTGTCCTGCCGACCTCACCTCCTTACAAATGTGTCTTGGACGAGAGCTTCCGGATAGACCTACATGCACTCCTCTGTCTCATGTTGCTTCCTGGAACTTAGCTCTAAAGCTTAATGCAGGCTGGCACACAGTACTGCCGATGAAGGTAGTTACCCCTATTATTTATCCCGTTCCTCGTTATTTTTTTCTTGTTGTTGCTATCTCTGATAAATCATAGAATGAACAATACCCAGCTGCTAGAGGGAATGGTGTAACCCCCAAATTCATATGCTGCAGCCCAAGTTCCCAAAGTGATTTGAAGGGGGTGCTTCTGGGAGGGAATTAGGTCATGAGGGTGGGATTACTGCTCTCCCAGGAGGAGACACAAAAGAGAGGATCTGTCTTGTTCTCCCCCCTGTAAACATACAAGAAGGTATCCCTCTGCACACCAGAAAGAGGGCCCTCACCGGAAACCAAGTGGCTGGCACCTGGATGTTGGACTTCCCAGCCTTCAGAACCGTGAGGAATAAATGTCTGCTGTTTAAGCCACCGAGTCTACGGCGGCCTGGACTGACCGAGACAGGAGTTCTTACCAGCAAAGGGACCCAGTAGTAATTTAAAGACGTCGGCCCTGCTGCAATCGTTGGCATTCTTTCTGTGAAGAAGAGGAAGGCCAGGACACCTACATTCAAAAGATGGATGCGTTAGGCCCTTGCAAAGGAATGCAGCCTTTTCAGTAAAGGTGTTTCCCAAGCGTCTTTGAAACTTGCTGTTGTTTTTATTGTTAGGACTTACCTATACTCCCAGTCACTAGAACTTTCCCCAGGAATAATACAAAGTATGTAACTTCATCTGTAACTGCAACTCTGAGTATCAGAAAAAAGATAGTAGAATGCTGTGTTTAAAATACAGTTGTTACAAGTAACTATTTCAAGAATGTATGGCAGTACATATTTGTAAGTTTATTCTGATGTGTCTTTGCCAAGATTTCATTGGCAATTGTTTCACAAGAATGAGCACAGAACCCCAGCCTGAAGTTCTGACTTGTTTTTAAAGAAGTAAACAGAAGATGGCATTGTAGGATTGTCAGGTCCCTGCAGGGGTGGTGTCAGCCTAGCTAATTCAAGGCCTACAGACAGCCCGGATTTGGGGGATGGATGCTGTATTTGTTTTCTGAATTTGTTCCTTCGGGCTCCAGCAATTTTGGGAGGGGGAAATGAACAGAGACAAGATGATAATGTGGTTCGTCTGGGGCATTTCTTGAGCAGAAAGGGATAGTAAAAATGATTAAATGCTAGGAGGTATGAAGGCATAGGTGGAACCAACTCTCAGATAGGAAAAGAAATTAATGGTGTGAGAGAGAATATTTAAAGATAGCATGCATGTCTAATAATGCCACCAACACTTTAAATAACAGTGAAGGTGTCAGGCTCAAGGTTCCCCAGAGTGTTCATTGCAATATTCACCTGATTACTTACTTTAAAACATTTCTCATCAGCAGGTTGAAAGCATCTTTTGCTGACCTGCAGAAGTTTCTGCCGTATATTGCAATCTGAGGGAGAGAGTTGACATTATTCTGGAGTGAGTAACACATCTTTTTTTTGAGTCGGAGTCTCACTCTGTTGCCCAGACTGGAGTGCAGTGGGTTCCGGTGATCTTTCCGCCTTAGCCTTCCAAGTAACTGGAACTACAGGCCGGCTACCACACCTGGCTAATTTTTTGATTTATTGTGGAGATGAGGTCTCGCCAAGTTGCCCAGGCGGGTCTCGAACCTGTGGGCTCAGGCAATCCACTCACCCCGGCCTCCCAAAGCCCAGGATTACAGGCTGAGCCACCGAGCCCGGCTGAGTAACACATCTTAACACGACCAAAGACCAACTCAATGACAGGAAAATAACCACATTAACTCCTGCCCTCCACAGAGCTACCCTATTCCTCTTTCTAACATGTGGGTTTGTGGAAGACATGGGACTTTCAGGGTCATTGCCGATAAGGTGTGCCTCAGATGCTGTGTGTCCTTCACACCAGGGCATTGCACAGCCTCACACAGAGGCAGGGCTTTTCCTCAAATCCCAGGTAACGGCTTCTGTCTTTGAAATGTTTGAGCTAGAGCTGATTGCTGGAAGGGTTAAATGTTGTAGGCTCTATGTTTAAAAAAAATTACTCTTAAGGAAAGCCAATGCCTTTCACTACACTCGATTTACTGATTAAAAGGCTCAACACGATACCTCCCACTGGAGGTAAATTAGTGACTATTTAAAACCCCATGACAATTGAATCCCTTTTCCAGACCCTGTGTCCCTGTGATAATAAGCAAATGTCGTAAGTTGTACCATAGCTTCTAAACTTTCGAAGAATTATATTTTTAGATCTCTTATTTTTTAAAAATCTAGTTAGAAGTTTCCATATTCCCATAAGAAATAAGTAAAAATTCAGTCAAACATTGTCAATGCCAACACATCTTAACACAAGATTCAAAAAAAGGATAAGACCCTTCCTTAAAATTATGTAAATCCCAGAATTAGAAAGGTATTTTCTTCTCCGGGTGAAATACATACTAAGCTTTTCCTCTCACCGAACCATGTCAAATACACACAAAAACCCTTTTCAGTCCAGCACACGTTTGAATTGCCAATACTTTCCCTCTCAAAAAAGGTATTGAAGGTCATCATGAAGTGTAGTCAAGACACTGCTTCATTGAGGAACGCATAGCCCTGAATCTTGCATCGGTTTCTCAGAGCTCATCCTCCTCAATGACACATTCAATGGCATCCACGCAAAATGCTTTTGAGAGGACAACGCAGACATGGGGCTTGGGTCTGCAAAGCAGCAGCTTGGGAAGTAAAAAAATCCTACTTACCATAATATAGGCGTTTTTGTTTAGAAACTTGACTACCTTTTCCAAACACCAGAAACAGCATCTCAGACAGCATTGTAGAAATTTAGCAAGTATGTTCTCGCCATCTACGAGAAGGAAGTTTGAAATCGATTAATGATTTGCAACTGAATCCTATGAATCAAAATAAATACTAATAAAATACTCAAAATGGGCTTGACAATTTTTGGTTGTTGTAAAATATGCATGGCATAAAATTTGCCATCTTAGCCATTCTTAAGTGTACAATTCAGCAGCGTCGAGTACATTTACGATGCTGTGCGCCATCACCATTACCCACTTGCAGAATTTTTAAAAAATCATCACTTCCCTCTTTCTCCTGGTCCCTGGTAACCTCTCTTACACTTGTCGTCTGAAGGAATTTGCCTCTGCTAATACTTCATCTAGGAGGAATCACACAATAATGTTCCTTTTGTATCTTGCTTATTTCACTTAGCAAGATGTTTTCAAGGAATGCTAAAAACATTTCGTTTCTTTTCTTTGTATGGCTGAATAAAAATTCATGGTGTGTATGTAACACATTCCGTGTATCTGTTCATCTGTGGGTGGAAATGTGGGCTGTTCCCACCTGCGGCTATTGTGAATTACACTACTATGAGTATTAGTGTACATGTAGCTGGGTCTCTGCTTTCAATTCTCTTGAGTATAAACCTAGAATTGGCCACCCCTGCCTTGACCTGCTGGGCTTAGTCGATTCTTCCACCCAAGTAGCTGGAACTACAAGTGTGTGTTACCACGCCCAGTTATTTTATTTTATTTTTTTGAGTTGGAGTCTCCAACTGGAGTGCAGTGGCATGCTCCGGGCCACCGCAGCCTCGACCTGCTGGGCTCCGGCGATCCTTCCGTCTCAGCCTTCCGAGTAGCTGGAACTACAGGCGCGTGCTACCATGCCCAGATAATTTTTTTTTATTATTATTGTGGTGATGAGTTCTCACCAAGTTGCCCAGGCGGGTCTTGAACCTGCGGGCTCAGGCAATCCATTCACCTCAGTCTCCCAAAGCGTGGGATTACAGGCTGAGCCACCGAGCCCAGCTATTGTTTTTTTTTTTATGACTGTAGAGACACGGTCTCACCATGTTGCCCAGGCTGGTCTCAAACCCCTGGGCTCAGGCAATCCTCAGGCCTTAGCCTCCCAAAGTGCTGAGATTATCAGCGTGAGCCACCACACCTGGCTCTTATTGGCCATTTGTATGTCATCATCAGAGAACTGTCTAGTCAAGTTCTTTGCTCATTCGGGATTTCTTGTTTGCTATTGAATTGTAGAAGTTCTTCACAGACTCTGGATGTTAATCCCTTATTTGGTATGATTGGAAAATGTTTTCTTCCATTATGTGGGCTGTCTTTTCACTCTCTTGATAGTGTCCTTTGATGCACAGATATTTTAAATTTTGATGAAGTCCATTTTTCTTTTCTCGCCCATGCTTTTGGTGTGATATCCAAGAAACTGTCACCCAATCTAAGGTGATGAAGATCTCCTACAATGTTTTCATCTAAGCATTTTAGAGTTTCAGCTCCTTTGCTTAAATCTTTGATCCATTTGAGTGAATTATTGTGTATAGTGTAAGGTAAGATCCAGCTTCATTCTTTTGCATGTGGATGCCCAGTTTTCCCAGCACCACTAGCTGAAAAGACTGGCCTTTCCCCATCGATGGTCTTATGTGCGAGGATTTATTTCTGGAATCTATATTCTACTTCAGGTCTGAATATTCATCCTTATGCTACTACCACACTGCTTGATTGTGGCAGCTTTGTAATAAGTTTTGAAATCAGGAAGTGATTTTGAACTTTGTTGTTTCATTTCAAAGGTTGTTCTGGCTACGAATAATAAAATATTTCATGTACATTCTAAGCAGAGTTTATGTGTTTATAAACTGCATGTGTCATGTATGAAGATTTATGCCATCGACACCCATACTTATACTTTAAGCCTAACCTGACCTGAGTTACAGACTTGGAACGGCCGACGTGGCATCTCTACCATGCTTCTCAACAGTAACATGTCAAAACAGACTTCTTAATCTCCTTGAACTTTATTTCTCCTGGCTTCCATGTTTTTTCTTTCTTTCTTTTTTGAGTCAGAGTCTCACTCTGTTGCCCAGGCTGGAGTGCAGTGGCATGCTCACGGTCACCCCAGCGTCAGTCTGCTGGGTTCAGGTGATCCTCCCGCCTCAGCCTTCTAAGTAGCCAGAACTACAGGTACACGCTACCATGCCTGGTTAATTTTTTTATTTACTGCAGAGATGAGGTCTCACCAAGTTGCCCAGGCTGGTCTCGAACTCCTGGGCTCAGGCAATCCTCTCGCCTCAGCCTCCCAAAGTGCTGGGATTACAGGTTTGAACCACCATGCCCGGCCAGCTTCCACGTCTTAACAGCTAGGACAACACACCTTTTATCTCTTTCTTTCACCACCGATCTCCCCTCCCCCTGGCATCCAACCTCTCAGCAGGTCCTGTTGGGTTTTCCTTCAGAACACACCCCAAAACTGCCCACGCCATCCTTAATACCCTAGGTCCCAGTTACCATTGTCTTGTCCTCCCCCACTCCTGCTCCAATTTATTCTCTTCACAAAAGTCAGGAAGTCTGAGATAGATTCTAAAATCTTACGTTTAACACGATGGTCCAGGTATTCGAGGATCATTTTAAACGTTTGAATTAATGCAATAGTTAAAGATCCAAATGCCAGTGATCCTGTGTGATATCTGGGCAAACAACAAAGGAGAGTAAAAGTTATTAACCAAGAGGATGCTGGCTAACAATTTTCACAGGTGAGTGGAACCAGCAGAAAGACTGACAGGAAAAAGCTTTTTGCATTCTCTTTCAGATGGCTAAAGGTCTCTGTAGAGGATTTTAAACCATATACATCTGTCTCTCTTTTTTTTAATGGCAAGGAAGACTTAACCAAGACTATGCAGTTGGGGAGAGGCAGTGGGCTCAACTTCATTTATTTATTTATTGTTGAGTTGGAGTCTTACTCTGTCGCCCCAGTTGGAATGCAGTGGCATGCTCCTGGCCACCGCAGCCTCAACCTGCTGTGCTCCGGCCATCCTTCCACCTCAGCCTTCCAAGTAGCCAGAACTACAGGCATGTGCTACCACGCCTGGCTAATTTTTGATTTATTGTAGAGACGAGGTCTCACCAAGTCGCCCGGGAGGGTCTCGAACCCGCTGGCTCAGGCAATCCACTCACCTCGGCCTCCCAAAGTGCTGGGATGACAGGCTGAGCCACCAAGCCCAGCCTGGCTCAACTTTAAATAAGGAAAAACCAGCTGGGGATTTACAGCCAAAGAGCGGGGGAGGAGGTGGTCAGTGGATGGACAATTCCTAAAAGGAGACATCAAGGGTAGGGGATTCTTGCTAAAGGGAGGTCAAGTTCTCATACATCAAAGGTGGGCAGGGAGGAGATCCTCTTGTCGTTCAACTGACATAAACGATAGCAATGGTTTGTCATCACCAAACAGAACGTTTGAGCTGATCACGGAGACACAGCCCCCGGTTGATCTTTCTTCTTTCACTGGCTTCCCTTCCTCTCATTCCCTCCCCAGTGACCTACGGCATTTAGAAGGATACTGGCCTGGGTAGGAACGGTAAAACTGTGGCTGTGAAACCAGCCACAGCCAATGGGCACCCGAGAATCTTGAATCACATCTTCAACCTCAGATGTACCGAGACACTGAATCCCAAGCACATGAAACCCACTGAGGAGACAGGCGTAGGCGTCCACATGGAGCTTACCGTATGGCTCGTCCAAATGCAGTAAAAAGTGGATAGGGTGGGATGTCATCGGGCTTCTTCATGGCCCAGTAATAAGTTGCGAAGGCACCGGCAAGGGCACACTGGCCCAGTGCGACGACAAAGTTGATAAGCCAGAGGAACACAAATAGATTGTATACATGGAAGGTGGGGATGTATTGGTGATACAAGCTCTTTCCACCATAGAAAGCAAAGTTGCACAGAGCCCCGGGGCAAACTTTGGCAATTTCAGTTGAATTGAAAAGCTGCGCTCAGAAAAAAAACGACACGAGAATAATATTAAATGCATTCCAAGCAACCGCCTCCTGCCTGTCCCCTCCATAGCCCGGCTGCTGGATGTCCTGCCTTTTCCCCACTGGCTTCTGCTGTGTTACGCCTTCATTTCCTGTCCTATCACTTGATGTCATTCTCTAGTGAGCTCTGGAAAGTATCTCATTTTCCATCAAATGCTCATCGCTCGGCACCCACTATAATTTCACATTTATTCGTGTTGTTGTCCACCACATCTCCTTGGTATGTCTTGGGTATCTGAGGGGCCAGCATGCTAGGAGATCATCACAGCGCTTTCTCTCTCCTCTTCCCACTGTCTTCAATACTCTCCTGCTAACACCTGCCCCACCCTCCCCTCGGATCCACAGTGATCCCCATCAGTGCACAGGATCTCTGCTTCGGGAGGTTCCTACAACAACTGTAGGGTGGAATGCACAGAATTCTCTGTCGAAGGAAGTCCGTGGGAGAGCTCCTTCTACTTACCTCTGGGTCACAGGTTTGATTTTCATGGACGCAATTCCCCGCTGGGGTTACAACTTTGTACACAGGTACTCCCGAAGTTGCCAAGAAACTGAATAGACTTCATTAAGGAGCAAACTATTTGAGATACATTAAAAATATATGGACAAGAAAACAACACAGACAACTCAAAAGTCCATGGAGAGATTAACTTCAGAAAACTTCTGATAGCTTAATAATATTCATCCATCTTTCAGGCCTAGATTAGTGTCACATGGGCCAACTGCAACTGAGTGGTCCTTTAGAAACAGTAGAATATGGAGGCTCTTTCCTGGTTCACTGTCAAGAAGAAGCATTGTGAGCATTCAAGAAGAAGAGGACAAAATAAAACCAATCTGCCCGATGGCCGATTTGAGGGGATGTTCAATTAGTAGACTGAAATTTTTGGGGGGAAATAAAAAAAAGTTTTGCTTTGTTTTGACCATTTCTCATCTTCTCGGCAACAGAAAACACTGGACACAAACTCCTGGTTCCTGAATAGTAACGTGAACCTGAGGTTTAAACAGGCCAATTACCAAAGGATACACAGCTGTCACAGCCCAGTAGCAAATGCAGATTGAGAGCAAAATGAAAGTTAAAAGTGGATAAATCAATGTACTGGGGATGTACCCAATGGCTCTGAAAGAAAACAGACAGCAGAAATTCAAAATGATGTTTTAATCAGTGTGTATTTTCTCAATTAAACTTTTATCTGCTAAAACTAGACATAAACCTCAGACTGAATTAATTCTAAGAAAACTGGTAATAGGTATTGACTCATTTTAAAAAATCATCTGGTGTATTCTTAGTTGGTTTTAAGCTTTTATTTATTAATTTGCTTTTAAAAGTAAGTAGGGATATTTTTTCGATGCTCATGTTTCATTCCTGCCCAAAGTCCCTGAAATTCTCCTCCCTTTGATTATTTCTGTCTGATGCATAAAAATTTGATACATTATAGCCATGAGATTTCTTTCTTTGGTTTAGATTCTTAAACTTTTAAAATTGGAGAGGACCTTGGTGATCATATGTTAAATTGTGGTAATTCCTACTGAATTCAGAAATCTCTTCTACAGGGGAGGGTCTCCCCCCAAAACGGAATTATCTTTTTGGAGGGGGGGATGCCTTGTAGTACATACGTCCCCCGCTAGGTAAGTAAGTGTTCTAGGAACCCATGGGCATCAGTGTACCAGCTAGTGTTTTTGTAAGAGGCTGCATTGTGGGAGAGATGTCCTGAGTCATGGCAAAATGGGTGAATGGCTCTTCCACCATGACCGCACACCTGCCCACACTGTGCTGAGTATTTAGCAGTTTTTGACCCAAAACAGCATGCTCCACCCTCCCTATTCACCTGATCTCGCCCTGAGATCAGTTTTTGTTTTGTTTTCCCTGGATGGTTTTGTTTTTTTGTTTCCCTGGATGAAAACAGTCCTCAGAGGGAAACATTTTGCCCGTGTAGAAGTGAAACCAAAAAACAACAGAAGCACTAAAAGGCATCAAAATGGATGAGTTAAAAAACTGTTTTGAGCAGTGGAAAGAGTGTCTCGATAGGTATATTGCATCCGACGGAGAGTACTTTGAAGGTGACTGAAGTTTACACATGTGAGAATAAACAATCTTTACAAATAAATTCTGTTTTGGGGGGTCCCCCTCATATACTATCTTCACAATGTGCTCACTTTCCTTCAGTGACCCCGCTGAGCGACGGGAACTAGGTTTTTCATGACGTAGCTTATTCCATTTCCTTAACAAAGTATTAGAAAGTTCTGCTTGTCATTTACATCCATGGCCTTCTGGGGAAGAAGTGAGCATTTTACCAACTTCTTCATGTAACAACCCTTCAGGTAACTCCTTACTTTTTTCCTTCAGGATAATAGTGTCTTTGGTGTCTCCTAACAGGTCATGGTTTGTGAAATGTTCACCCTCCCAGCTGTACTGTCCTGCTTCTTTGAAATGATCATTTAGCATATGGCACTGGATTCAACCCACTCCGGCTTGATAGGACCACTGAGAAATGAGATGAAACTCCCGTCACTCCGGATGCATCCACTCAGCTTTCCTCTGGATGTATGTTCTTTGCCTCACTATTTGAGCTATGCTGTTTCCTGCTTTCTCCACATACAGCCATTAAATGAATTAGAGCACGTCTATGTATTGGCATCTTTTGAACAGCAAGTGTACGTTTAAGTGAAAGTGAGAAAGCGCCTTGCAAAGGTTAGCTATACCCCATTGTATGTTGTTTCCATACTGGCTCCTATGTAAATATTGATGGCTGAGATCAAGTGTAGGACTCGAAATCACCATAATCCTCTAAAGTCAATTGCGTGCCATTAGCACTGACAAAATTTTCTAATAGACAGGAAAATTGACAGTGTGTTTTTTTGACAAAATGAAGCCTGTCTGAGGGGGAGATGTCCGAGGTTTTAATAAAGGTAGCGAAAGGGTTTCACCTGTATGTCCTTGGGTTTACTCTGCATTCTCACACTTATCTATTTCCGTTCTTATCATCTCCTGAGCCAATTGCCAACCTATCACACTTGTACTGGCCCTTTATTGTGTGTGCGCGCGCACACGCGCACACACACACTCACACACATGCACATGGAGGGGTGGAGCAAGTAGAGCAAATTACAATGAACTGCACAATGTGACACTATTTAAGAAATAAAGCCAGCAAACCAGTAGTTTTTGTGGCTAATGATAGGGCTTCGGGTATTGTGGGAAGAGGAGAGAGTGGAGCAAACTGCTTGTTAACTATTCAAACCACTGGTTTCAGGTGGCACTATTATAATCATAATAATAATCTGGTAATTTTGTTAAAATAATCCTTAAAGACTTTTCAGAGTCATTGGGTTCTTGGTCATTAACAATGTAGTTTCCATCATTCTCCATCAAGAGCCCGGATTGCTGGCTTTATAATATTGCTTCCTTTGTTGCTTCTAGGCACCATTAAGAAGTTCAGAGCATTAGTCTCGAGTGACCTCTTGGAATAGTTTGAAAACTATAGGGGTTATTACCTCTCAGCATGATTTAAAAAAAAGATGTAGTGTTTATTGGGCAACTTTTTAAAAATAAAAAACAGCGCTGGGTATGAAGTGCTCCTGAATTATAAGCTTTAGATATAAAGTACGTCTTCAGACATAAAGAATGGATACTAGTGCTGCTAGACTCAATTTTCCTGTCTATGGGAAAATTTTGTCACTCACCCAACAGGGCTAATGGCATATAATTGACTTTAGAGAATGACAGTGATTTCGAGTCCTACACTGGATCTCAGCCATCAATATTTACATAGGAACCAGTATGGAAACAACATACAATACGGTACAGCTAAACTTTGCAAGGCACTTTCTCACTTTCACTTAAACACACACTTGGTGTTCAGAGGATGCTGACACACAGACTAGGCAGGTTTTAGTCTCATGGTACCCTAGACGATTGAGGCCTGGGGACACAAGAGGACCTGCCAGTGGTGACCTTGCTCATAAGTGGCAGAGTCTGAGCTTGAACAAGTCTTCTCGAGAGGAAAAGTTCTTTAGCCTGTCTCCTTAAGGGACACGGTCTGGGGCATCCACGGCAGGGAGGGTTCACTGATCTGGGCTTGGCACGCAAAAGGGTCTTACTTGCTCCCTTCCTTTAGCAGGATGATGGCGACGCTGATTTGATTCCTGAGGAAGATCAGCATGAGTATGACTGTCACCTCAACGATGCAGAGTATTATCACTGGGAACAGGAAAAAAAAACCGTCTGTAACATGCACATCGATACAAGACACAACATTTCTCTGCAAAAGGCAAGACAGCTTTACGATGAGCCCCGCCAGTTTGGACGCCTTGAAATTCAAACCGCTCTCTCTCCAAATGCCAGTCTTAGGAATTCATCTTCAAAACCTCCAAGAAGTTCTAAAAAATCCAGGTGAAACCCTTTCACTACCTTTATTAAACCCTTGAGCATCTCCCTCTCAGACAGGCTTCATTTCATCATAAAAACCATTTCCACCGCTTACGGAAATTAGACCACGGGCATGGAAGGAAGGAAGGGCTGCTTCAAGCAGCTCTAAGAGGTCCGACGGTTAAGAGAGATAGAAAATAGGTAGATAGATGGCAGACAGATACCTAGATACATAAATGCATAGACGGATAGATAGATATATACATACATAGATGGGTCCGTGGTCTGACAATTAAGTTCGCGGACATATCCTAGAAAAAGTGCTATAGACCTCATTGCTGAATTTCACCACGGTCACCTTCAAAATCCTCCCCTTGGGAGGCTCGGCACCTATGCCAGCGCCTAGTCCACCTGCCAAAGCAATTTTGGGACTCTTTCTTCTGCAATGACCATCAGAGCTGTGGTCGTATTACCTTTAATGTCCTGAATGTCATCAAATGCCTTCCTTTCAATATTTCCTTTCTCTTCAGGTAAAGAAAAAAGAGCAGCCGGGCTCGGTGGCTCAGCCTGTAATCCCGCGCCTTTGGGAGGCTGAAGTGAGTGGATTGCCTGAGCCCGCGGGTTCAAGACCCGCCCGGGCAGCAAGACCTCATCTCTACAATAAATAAAAAAATCAGCCAGTCGTGGTAGCGCGCACCTGTAATTCTGGCTACTCGGAAGGCTGAGGCGGAAGGATCGCAGGAGCCCAGCAGGCGAGGCTGCGGTGGCCGGGAGCGGCCACTGCACTCCAGTCTGGGCGACAGAGTGAGACTCCAACTCAAAGAAAAAAAAAAGAAAAAATATCAGGTGAGTAGAAAGGGTGTTCCAATAAAGTTAATTGCACAGTGCCGCCAACATAAGTGCACAGTGATGAGTTCATGAACCTAATTGTCAAATCTCGATAAGTAACGAGGACAGTTCTAATGGCCATTCCAGAAAAAGAGTTCCAAAATTGCTTTGATGGGTGGACTAGGCACTGGCATCAGCGCATAGCTTCCCAAGGGGAGGACTCTGAAGGTGACCGTAGTGATGTTCAGCAATGAGATGTGTAGCACTTTTTCTAGGACAGTTCGCAAACCTAATTGTCGGATCTCGTATGTTAGATGTCTTCACCTTTAGTTCATTGAGGGAGAGAATACACAAAAGAAACTCTTTGAGCTGTGCATCGTGCTCACAATGTCTCTTAACCGTCCTTGCTGACTGACAGGGCAGGTTCTTGGTTGCCTCGTTTGTATCTTGTGACTCCACCCTCCCCGTGGCCACCATTGCAGGAATCAAAGTGCAAACCCAACCCGACTTTACCAGTAAATATCTCAGAGTTAAGGGCATCTAGTTTAGTCTTGAGGTTTATACAATCCTTGAACTGAGGGTTTATAGAATCTGCATGAACCGTGTCAGAACCATCTTTATGTGAAGTAGATCCGCAAAGGAAGAAATAAGTGTGTGTGTGTATAAAGAAAGACAACCAGAAGGGAAATCCTGGGTTCTTTCAGGCTTTTTGTCTCTTGGATCCAGGTAAACTTGAAAGTCTAGTTCTTTTCTGCTTTTTCGGGTTTGACAAGACGCACGATAAATTCCCTCTCCTCGGCCCCCAGCCGGTCCCAACTTTCCTTTCTCTTCATCTAGCTTGAGCTAGGTTTTTAAACTTGAAGCCAAATAGTATCAACTGCTACGTTTCCTCAATTCTAAGATATGTCTTTAATTAAGTCATAGCTTAGAAAAGGTAAAGAGACCCTTTATTGAGTGTCTATTTCATAATTTTCCAGCCGGGCTCGGTGGTTCAGCCTGTCATCCCGCGCTTTTGGGAGGCTGAGGTGAGTGGATTGCCTGAGCCCACGGGTTCGAGACCCGCCTGGGCAGGCGAGACTTCATCTCTACAATAAATCAAAAAATCAGCCGGGCGTGGTAGCACATGCCTGTAATTCCGGCTACTTGGAAGGCTGAGGCGGAAGGATCGCCGGAGCCCAGCAGGTTGAGGCTGCGGTGGCCGGGAGTGGCCACTACGCTCCAGTCTGAGCGACAGAGTGAGACTCCAACTCAAAATAAATAAATAAATAAATAAAAAATAAAATAAAATAAAAATTTTCCAATGCATCCTGATTTTGGAAATGCTAAAAAGTGAAAAAGCATGGTTCTTAAAATCAAGAAAATATGGTACTAACGACAAAATCTGGAAGTTTAAAAGAAACTTAATGGAAATTTAAATGGCCACTCGAGAAGGAGTCCCTTGCCAGATGGTTATTCCGCTCATGCTTGAAGATGTCTAGTAATGGAGAGCTCATTCTTTCATTCTGTTGTCATACACTACAATTCTGACATCTCACACATCAGCCAACATCTCCAAGAAAGCACAAATCAGTTAACCCAGAGGTGTGGGAGGATGTTAGTAATGTATCTCATTTCTACATCATCCTCTAGTTCAACTATATACTTATGTTTTCATGCACATTTTATTCTCTTAAAACACAAATTTGAGTCCAAAATTGTGGCATACAGTCATATTATGCTAAAATCATTGTTGCTTTGGAAAAAAAATTTTTTTAAATCAGAATCATGTTATATTCTGAAATTGCATTGTAAAAAGTGTTTAAACTTCTACCTTGATAGACACATTTAGCTGTCTTTTGAATGTAAATAGTCATTGCTGCATAATGACGTTTCAGTCCACAGCGGACTGCATTTACAACGGGGGTCCCATAAGATGACGACAGAGCTGAAGAATGCCTGTCGCTCATTGAGGTCATAGTGCGACGCACAGCTCACTTGTTTGTGGTGATGCTGATGTGAACAATTGTGCTGCCAATCACATGGAGGTCTAGCACGTGCCACTATGTACAGCACATAATACTTGAGAATGAGAATCCATGACTAGGTTACTGGCTTATGTGTTTACTGTGCTTTTTAATTGTTATTTTAGCGTGTACTCCTACTTATTTAAAAAAATGTTAACCGTACAACAGCCTCAGGCAGGTCCCTCAGGAACATTCCAGAAGAAGACACTGTGATCCCAGGAGCCGACAGCCCCACTGTGTTATGGCCCCTGAAGACCTTCCAGGGGGATGAGATGCAGACGTGAAGACAGTGATATTGATGGTCCTGACCCTGTGGGGGCCTAGGTTGGTGTGTGTGTGTGTGTGTGTGTGTGTGTGTGTGTGTGTGTCTTAGTTTTAACAAAGGAGTTTAAAAAGTAAAAAAATAAAATTAAAAATGGAAAAAGCTTTTAGAATAAGGATACGAAGAAAGAATATTTTTGTACAGTTGTATGATGTGTTTGTCTTTTAAGCTAAGTGCTATTACAAAAGAGTCATAAGTTGTTTTCTGAAAAAGAAAAAGTTTATAAGGTGAAAATGTTACAGTAAGCTAAGGTCAATATTGAAGAAAGAAATTTTTAAAAAGACTTTTAGCATAGCCTAGGTGTCCAGTGTTTCTAAAGTCTACGGTGGTGTCCAGCGATGTCCTAGGCCTTCACATTCACTCACCATCACTCACTGACCCACCCAGAGCCACCTCTTTTATGCCATATTTTTAGTGCACCTTTTCTATGTTCAGACATGCTCAGATACACGAATACCACTGTGTTACAATGGTCTACTGTGTTCAGTACCTTCACATGCTGTACAGGTTTGTAGTCTAGGAGCCACAGGCCAGACCACATAGCCCGGATGTGTAGTAGGCTAGACCATCTAGGTTTGTGTAAGTGTACTCTATGACATTCATACAACAGCAAAATCACCTAGCAAAGCATTTCTCAGAAAGCATTCCTGTCGTTAAGTCACTACATTCCCCCCTCATGTTTGAATAACAGTAAGTCATCGAAATGTATTTGATGTCCTACAGGGCAGCTAGTGTAACCCTATCCTAGCAGAATAGGAGACTGGCACCTGGGGGTAAGAGATGTACTCAGGTGTTAAAACTAGTTAGTAGGAGAGATGAAGCTAGAACCGTTTCCTAACACAATCTAGGGCTCATAAGATCACAATTTTTGCACTTGTAATAATGCTGACTTTCAGTGTTTCTGGTAATGAGTGTAATTTCACACGGATGCTCTTATCTCTGGTGCCTAGAATTTCGTCCAAGCACAGAGCAAGGAATCGATCAATGTCTGAAAAGCGAGTTACGAAAGCTGAAGCTTATTTGAAGAGCAAATGGCGTTGCTAGACTTAAACATATTAAACAGCTTTGAATTTTTCTAAAAGTACATCCCTTTACTTTTCTAATGGCAGATTCTGATCATCTTCATTATTTTTCTGTGGAGGGGTCTTGGAGAGCAGCAGGGGTGACTACAGAACCCAGAACTAAGATCTACCCAAGAGCAAAACTTAGGACTCAAGTTCAGGACATGAGTGAGATTGGGCACTTTGAGAAATGACAGATAACAGCAGGTAGGCTGCTGAGGAGATATGGAATCATTCACGTTCAGGAAAGATGGTAAGGATGCAATTCCCAAGACACCTGATTTTAGTAGTTAAAAGGAAAAAGCTTTTAGGAAATAATTCTCCTGCAACGTATTTGCAAAGAAATGAGATAAGTGAAGGGTACTAGTATGTATGATAGTTAGACATGGGCAGCCTAGAGGAAGAACTTGGCATTTGATCCAGCAATATATTTAAAAGAAAAAAGAGAGAGAGAGAGAGAGAGAGAAAGCCTGGCATGGTGGCTAATATTTGTAATCCCAGCACTTTGGGAGGTTGAGGAGGAATGGTTGCTTGAGGCCAGGAATTCAAGACCAACCTGGGAAACATAGCAAGACCCTGACTCTACAAAAAATGTTTAAAATTGGCTGGGCATAGTGGCACATGCCTGCAGCAATCCCAGCTACTTAGGAGGCTGAGGTGGGAGGATCGCTTCAGCCCAGGCATTCTAGGCTGCAGTGAGCTATGATCATGTCACTGCACTTTAACCTGGGAGACAGAGCGAGATCCCATCTCTCAAGAAATAAAAAAATGTAAAAAGAGGAAAACCTAAATTTGATGGACAAAAGGAATCTCGTGACATCTGTGCTGTGCAGCCGGTCACCAAGGTTGGCATCGGCCTAAAGACAGCCTTACCCAGGTTGTCTGAATCCCTTTGCCAAACAGCTTCTGACACGTGATCTTACTCCCATCAGGAGATTTTTGGCAAAGCTTTTGCTTTGGTTCTGGGAAAGCAGCTTCCCAAATGAAATATGTTTGCATTCTGGTCACTGGGAGAGTATCCCAATGGTAAAAAAAAAAGTAAAATGGTGGCATAGCATGAACTCGTCCTTGAGAGCCTGAGGATTCTTGAATGAAGTGGCAAAATCAAGTTTGCCAATGTGTGGGAAAGGCGCCCAGGCCTGGAATCTTGATGCCGTCAAGGCAACGCTTCCTTGAGGCTTTTTCTGGGCTCTCTGCCAGGCTTCCTGGAATATGTCTCTCCTGGCTCTCCAACTTCAACAATATAAAGATGATTCTCTAAAAGCAGCATGCAATTGGAGATTATTTTTAAAATCTTGCTCAAAGAACATGGATCTGGGAAGTGCAAGGAATATTAGAACGAACCCATTCTAAGAACATAAGATTAAAGCCATCACCAAAATCATCTTGCTTTAAAGATTTTGTTAATATAACCCTTAACAAACTCAATAATTTGAATAAACACTGTGACGTCCATTTTCAGTCACTTACAATTTCTATAGTAGTTTGTCCTATTGTTTCTTATTTTCCTTTTCGAAAACAAGTTTGAAAAATCAAGCAATTGGTTTTTGGAAACCTCTTTCTTAGATATCAGGTTAATGTTCTATAAATGTCAACAACCAAACCACTTTAAGTTAAAGACAAATGGCTTGAGATCGTTGTAGTGTTTTCTGAGGTTATACAGTAAATTCGTCTTAATGACTTTTCCATTTACCGTAGTTAGAGGATTATAGACACATTACCTTTCATGACATTAGTGATAAATATATTTAGCAGGTTACACTGATCCAAGTATTCCTTTAGACAATAAGATACTTCATCATTATGACAATTACAACAAAACCAGTTTTTAAAGTCCACTCACTGAGTGCAAACCATGTTTGCTTCAGCTCAAAGTACATGCTTATATTGGTCTGAATTCCGATGTCATATATACTTAATACAGAACTTGGGCGTTCCTGAAGATCAGTGTATTGCTGATAACAGTGCCATATTCCTTGAAAAAGAAAGAAAAATAAAATATTATTTTCTAAAATACAAACTATATATGCTTATACATGTCTACAGGAAACTGATCAACATGGTCATATCTACAAAGGCAAGATAGAGATATGTAGGTACTCAGTAGATACTTTGTTTAGATCTAATAGTCTCAGTGTGCTACTGTACTTGATATAAATGCTTTCAGTATATGTCTTGATAACTGAGGCAACATCTGTCGTGAAATGACCTTTTGATTAGAAACAACCTTCAAGTCCATCAGTAGAAACTGGTTAAATATGTCATGGTATATTTATTCAGTAGAAATATCTGTTGAAGTCTCCCTTAAAACCAAGTTATTATTTGTTGGCTTATTTATCTTTGTGGTTCTATACATTCTGAAGCTGCTTTAATGGATGCATACAAACTTAGAACTGGCATTAAAAAAAATGAATTGAATGCTTTCTATCCATAAAAATACTTTTTATTCTAAAATCTATTTTGTCTAATATTATTATGGCTTCTGCAGCATTCTTTTGTTAATGACTGCTAGTATATTTTTATCTATCCCTTCACTTTCAAATGTTCTATTTCCTTTGTGTTGTATAACTTTTATAAATAACATATAGCTCCTATTTGTATGTGTGTGTTCTAATCTGATTTGACAATCTCTGTATTCCTGCTGGTGAGTTTAATACATTTATACTTAATGTATTGATATATTTCTATTTGCCTTTACTTTTTATTTTGGGTTTTCTAGCTCTACTTTGTGCCTATAATTCTTTTCTTCCAATTCTTATCTTTTAAAAATTGATGAATTTTTGTTTGTTTGTTTGTTTGTTTATATTACATTATTCTTCCCTACTGGTTTGGAGCTGTCTACTCTATATTTTTATAGTAGATTACCTTTGAAACTTTGCTCTATTTATTTAATAATCAGGTTTAAAGTCAATATCTTAACAAGGAAATACAAGGACCTTAGATCACTCAATAATCACCCTCCTCTGATTATGGTGCAATAATTTAATTATGTACATTTTGATCTATAAAATGGACATTATTGTTGTATATAGGCTGAGTTTGTTTAGTTTTACCTACATGTTCACTAATGTATTTTCTTTACTCACTATCCTTTCTTATACTGCATATATTTTTGTGGAATAATTTTTTTTTCTGATTCTCCTGACTCTCAAAAGTTCTGTTTCCATCAGGAAATATAGCTGATCAAACGTTAAAAGCATGTATGACCATCTTCATTGCCACAACCTTGGTCTGGGTTTCCCTCACTCAGCACAAAAATTATTGCAATAACCTACTCACTGGTCTCACTGCTTCTACCCTGGCCTCATTACAGTCTTTGCAGCACAAGGACTGGAGCAATCATCTTATTACTTCTCTCTGTAGCTCAAAACCCTGCAAGGCCTCCGCATTTCACTCAGAGTAAAAGTGTCGGCTGCAAGGTTCTGACCCCTCATACACTCTGGGTTCTAATCCCTTATTTTCTCCATACTCAGTACACACATTCACACCAGACTCCCTGCCCGCCATTTCTTCTTACCTGAGGGCCTTCGCTCTGGCTGTCTCCACATCTGCAACTCTCACCTCAGCTCCACTAGCCAACTCCATTGGCTCATTCAAGTGTGTTCTCAGATCTCATCTCACCAAGTCCTCTTCTATTAATACTGTGATCTTCACCCCTCACCCTACCATGGCATCCCTACTTCTTTTTTCCATGGCAACAGTCACCTTCTAATACATCATTTACTTAGGCTATAAGCATCAGGAGAACCTTTACTTGTTTACTCTTGTACACCAAGAGTCTAAGATAGTGCCTGTACACAGCAGCTATTCACTTGATATTTATTGAGTGAATAAAAGCATGTTTGATTAGACATAGATTTCTCTTCCTTTACTTGGTCTAGGGAGATCATCCTGTATCTACGGATCCATGTCTTTCATCAGTTCTAGAAAATTCTCCACCAATAACTTTCAAATGTGGCTGACACGTATTAGGCCTTTCTCAATCTATCTTCTCTCTCTGTTAACTACACAATCATATTGTTGCCCCTTCTCACATTCTGCAATATTTTGGGTGGTTAATTCAGATTTACATTTCAGTTCATTGATTCGCCATTTTTCTATTTAACCTATTGATTTAATTTCTAATCTAATAAGTTTTTTTTTATTTTGAAAAGGTTCACCTTCATGTGTGCCTGGACATGTTTGTTGATGTCTATTTTTGTGATTCTATCTTTAGTTCTTTAAACCTCTTATGCATGGTTACTTTATGTTCTCTATCTATTACTTTCTGTATCAGAATTCTTGGAGACTTCAATCTGATGTTTATAGTTGCCACTGATTTTCACATGGGACTGCTGTTCTTGCATGTCGAATAATCTCAGACTTGACTGAACTGAATTTGTGGAAACTTTCATCTATATAGGATATACATTGTTTCTTGTGGCATCCAGAGGTTGCTAAACTGGGCTCACCGTAGACATTTTCTAGGATCCCAGACTTACTCCAGGAATTCCAAGTGTGGTCCCCTGCTCTGCTGCTGACTCAGGTCTAAGCCTCCTGATTCCAGCACGTATGGGCTACCCAAGTGTTTCACATGTGATCCTGCTTGGTTGCCCGCTTTAACTTTAACTCATGAGTTATTTTTTTTTCTTTTGGGGAGAGTTCCTTTTTTCCCTAAAGCTTATCAAAGCATTACATAATATAAAACAATGTAACACATCACAATGCAATACTCTTATATGCCATTATTTCATAGCAAGATGGCCCTTCAGACGACTTAATTCTCTTATACTGGCTGACGTGTCCAGGCAGTCTTTTCCAGTTTCTTTCTCTCTCCTGTCTTAGATATTTTTAAAGTTAGGATCCCTGAGCCTCACATCTTCCTTCTTTAATTATATTCCTGTACAATAACAACAGCAACAGTAACGGATACTAATTACTGAATGCTTAGTATATACCAGCAGATTCTCAAGACTTTATATACATTATTTTGCTTCATGCTCACAGACTCCTGTTATGTGATTGAGCATACTCTGAATTAGAGAAACTCCACATGTGCAGAGGATCATACAGTTAATATGTGACAAGCCTGGCATTGGGCCTTTTTCCTACTTTAAATCTGTGTTCGTAACCCCAGTGTTAGATAGCCTCTCCTGTGTCCCTCTTAACTTGCTCTGGTCAATGAGAAGTGTTCCACTGCTGTCATGAACGCTTGCCCACCAGCAGTCCAGCTTTTTCTCTACTCAATAGGACACATCCACGTGGTTTTTTTCCCTCATAAATGGGCTGCCATCAGTGGGAAGCATCAGCAGGAAAAATTGGTCTCCCATGAGGTAGAGAAAGTCAGTTGTCCAAGACAGTAGCAGAAGTCAGTTACACACCGTCTTATTTATTGACACTCCCCAGCCTAATTGGACATTTCCTTCCCCAGTAAATAGTTTGAAGCTTACTCGCCACACCATTCATTTCTGGAGGAGCACTGCCTGGGGAGTCAACAGGAAGCTGAAATTGGTTGTGTTACCTGTAGTTTCCGTATATTGACCACCTTGTTCTCTTTTGCAGATGTCAAAACTGCACCATAGCCAAACTCATATTTTTCTTGCTGCTCAAGACGAGTCAGTGATGTCAATAGTGGACGTCCCTGCTCTTCCCTTCTTGATGAAAATGAAAGAGCCATTGGATCACATGCCCATTTTCGCCAGTGGCAAAGGGCAGGAGTTATTTTGAGCCCCAAGAGGGGACACAGAAACAAGACGTTTAGACGAAAAGCTTTCTCTGGAGTTTCGGAGCAGGGGACGGAAGTTCTTGAGTTCCTCCACCAGACTGCCCCGCCTGTCATCTATTACCTGGCTTCGCTCAGGACAAAGCCCAGGTGAAATTCAAGAGCAGCTGTTCAGCAGAAGCAGAGAAGGCCTGCATGATTAACTAGAGACTTACTGAGGGTCATGAGGGGGAAATAACAATAACGCAACACATACTGATCGAAGGCTTGCTGCGTTCCAGGCACTCATCTTAGAGCCTGAATCCTTGTCATCTTCTGAGCTGGAGATGCCATGATCGTGCTGATGTCACAGACAAGCCAACTGGGTCTTGTCATCGTCAACCAAACTCCCCAGGTCCCCAGTAGCCTGTCAAGGAGCTGGGCTAGAACTTAGGCTCCCCTTCCAGAACTGCATTCTGATGTGAATGCGCGTCAAGCTTGTCCTCACTGACTGACAGAAGTGGGAGGTCGTTCCTTTTTTGATGTCTGTGTTGTCGATTCTTAGGGTGTTTTGGGGGCAAAACCATTCCTTTTGCATGGAAACCTCTCAAGGATTCGTAAATTTTTAGAGGAGTGAAAGGAAACTGTCATATGTGGCATACTGTTTCCTGGGAGACATTTTAATTCATTTGCTGTTCACATGATACCTTACATGTATTTCTTTTGGGGGTGCTGAGTTAGTGGTTCAACTTAAATCTTGTTTTTGTTTGTTTGAGCTGGAGTCTCACTCTGTCGCCCAGGTTGGAATGCCGTGGCATGCTCACAGCCACCGCAGCCTCGACCTGCTGGGCTCCGGTGATCCTTCCGCCTCAGTCTACCAAGTAGCCGGAACTACAGGTGCACACCACCACGCCTGGCTAATTTTTGATTTATTGTAGAGACGAGGTCTTGCCAAGTTGCCTGGGCTGGTCTCAAACCCTCGGGCTCAGGCTAGCCACTCGCCTGGGCCTCCCAAAGTGCTGGGATGACAGACTGAGCCACCGAGCCTCGCCATGTTTTGTTTTGTTTTGTTTTTTTAAACTTCTATAAATGTGTGGGGTCCAGGTGAGATTTTGTTACATGAATATATGGCATAGAGGTGAAGCCAGAGCTTTGAGAGCATTCATCACCCAGATGACATACATTGTATCCACGACATGCTTTCTCGTCGCCCAACCCCCACCATCCTGAGGGTCTGCTGTCATCCCACACCCTAGGGGCATGTCTACCCTGGGTCTCACACCAAGTTCTGCAACGCTCCATCCGGTTGTAATTCACTACGCTGGCCTCTAGATGGCGATGCTTCATTATGGAGTAGCAATTATCAAAAGGTGTGACCGGTTCGCGATTAAAAGTGCCACCCTGTCCAGATTAAAAGTGCTACCTTGTCCATGTAACAAACCAGCACTTGTACCCCCGAATCTAAAAGAAAATAAACCATATTTTTAAAAGTACAGTCTGAGTTGCAAGAGAAAGCTAGGTCACACTACTGTATGCAGCCTGCAGACCTACACGTTAGAAAAGGACAGAAAAGTCAGAGAAATTCAAGACTTGGTCTGAAATGTTTTTCATTAATCGTCACGGTTTCTTCTCCCCTCCTTCTCAATATCCAAGGGGTCATGAGCCCAGCGGCTGGCAGGGAAAAGAGCAGAACGTTCTGACAGCACTTCTTTTCAAGGTACAGGAGAGGAAATGTATAGACAGTCTACGTAAAAATTAAGCGATTTTTCTAAATTTAAAGCTTGGGGGGGATCATAATTAAATATATTTACTGCAAACAAAATGCTTTCTGGTAACTGATAACGACAATGGAAAAGAGACGGGTCATTCTAGTATCTGGCGGTTTTGAGAGGCGTGATACCTACCGTAGCCTATAATTCCGAGCACACCAGACATGAAGACCCAGAAGAGGCATCCTGCTATGAGCCTCAGGAGTATCAGAAACATCCAGCTGAGGAGCATGGCGGTGGTCAGGGCACTGCAGGAAAAGCCACAGCAGACACAGGGGTCAAGAGTGCTGAACGTAGCATGATGACAACATCAAGGCAACACTTTTTTTCCTTTTTTTTTTTTTGAGTTGGAGTCTCACTCTGTCACCCAGACTGGAGTGCAGGGCCGCTCCCGGCCACGGCAGCCTCGACCTGCTGGGCTCCGGCGACCCTTCTGCCTCAGCCTTCCAAGTAGCTGGAACTACAGGCGCGTGCTAATTTTTTGATTTATTGTTGAGATGAGGTCTTGCCAAGCTGCCCAGGCAGGTCTCGAACCCATGGGCTCAGGCAATTCACTCACCTCAGCCTCCCAAGGCATGGGATGACAGGCTGAGCCACTGAGCCCGGCACTTTTTTTTCTATTCAAAATGAATATTATTTTATTTTATTGGCTACAGGAACAAGTAGAATGCTAATATATATACATATACATATACACACACACACACATATATATGTAGACAACGGTTTCCCTTGAGACTTCCACATGAAGGACAGGCCCGGGAGGGACTTTGTCCATGAGTCATCTTGGTGTGCATAGGCAAACCAAGTCCACCATCAGTCACTGTTCAAGGAAGCATGAGTGCCTCCAACCTACAATTTTAATCTACCTGCCCCAGTTGCCATGTCTTATTCCCCTTCATACCTACCTACTAAGAGGTAAATTGTAAAGCCTATCCACACTGAATTTGTTCTCTTCTATCTACCTGGTGACTAGTGGAAACCTTCAGCACTATGACTGTCAGAATGTAAGGGGACAGTGTTGGGAAGAAAAGCAAGAAAGATAACTGGCCATGCTCTGAACCCATGATTCTGCAGTCATTATCCCTGTGGATTAATTATGTCTAGCAGGTTGTGATGCCAGACATCACCAGACACCTATTCCAGGTCGCCCGTGATCTGGGTGCTTTTATTTGGAGCCGTAGTGAGGCTTCTGTGTCTCCTGAGCCATGAGACTTTATCAAGCGGTTAATAGCATGACTATCTTCTGTCTGTTTTAATTTCTTCCTGGAATCTGACTGAGCTACTAGAGAAGCGTCTCACTTCCCCACCCCTGCCCCATCGATATATCCAGGTTAAGGTCATATTGGATGTGATTTCCTCAAGGAGAACTCATTAAGATGGGAAACCTGGCTGACTCTTCTATTAAGAACGGAAGCCTCCGGTGCTATCTGCTAAGTTTGCAAACAGCAACAGACAGAGCCTGGAACATTTATTGAGCTTATTGTCTCGAGTGCCCTCTTCTTAAAAAATCTCAATAATCGCTGTCACTGGATAGATGGCAGCACACTGTCGAAGTGTCACCGTCTCGCAAAGCCTATGCTCTTAACTCCAGTGACCGCTCCGAAGATCATAGCTAAAGTGCTTAAATATTCAATATGGTTGAAGGGTTACACAATGGCATAGTCTGAGGGTGGGATTCAGAAAGGTCAGAGGGGAAGCACAAGAAAGAAAGCTGTGCATCCTGTGTGTTTGACATTTGACATTTTTTCATAAAAATTCTGACCGGGTAGACCAAGTCCCAGCATACCAGTGCTTTGGCTTTGCGTTTATAAAACAGACGAGAGCAAAAGACTTGAAAACGAAGAGAGGTGTGGCTGTTTTGGCGTGTGAGTGGCGTCGGGCAGAGGGCCTCAGAGTGTAGCTGGGGAGTATATGTGCCCAGGTAAGAGCAGAAAAGCTAAGTGGAGAAGAAACGTGGAAATTACCTAGTGATATCTGCGTCTGACAGTGGGGGAACCTACTTGAATGCTGTCAAGCAAAGACTGCAAGGGTCCTTGCATCAAGAATTTCTCTCTGCTGGAGATAAATCCCAACACACTGGAAATACTCACTTTGACTGTTTAAGACACAGTAGCAAAACAGGTAAAGTCTCATAAGATAATCTAATTGTACAGCTCTAAAAACTACTCACACACAATACAATTTTGGCTTTATTAAAGCACCACATAGTTGAATACCTCTATCTTGCGCCTCTATTGTTTTCATAACTGCTCCTCGAGCCCCACTGACTGTGTGTTCACTAAGCTCAAAGGACCATACTGGACTTAGGAGTATAAAGACGAGCTAGACATAGTTACCGTTATAAAGAGTTCTCAGTTAATCAGAAGGAAGCGGCCGAGTAAATACAACACAAAATGGTAGGTGCTATACAGACGATGAGTATGTGTGTGTCTTTAAAGACATGTATACAGACACACACACAGTGGGCATGAAGAACACAGAAGCAAGTAATTGCCTCTGGGAAAGAGAAGAAGGGTTCACAAATGACACTCAAGTTGCCTTTAAAGGACGGGGTAGGGTTGCCCAGGACGCAGAGAAGGATATGCCAGAAAAGGAAACAGAATGTGGAAAACACGGAATGTGACAGCCTAGGGAGGGAAACGTTATTGGATGTGTCTAGAATATAAGGTCAACCAAGAAACGGGTGGGAGCGAATCTGAAAGACTACATGAGCCAAGGCTGCAAAGGGCCTAGGGAGCATCTGAAGAAGTTTGAACTTATTCTTGAGTCACTAGAGGACCAGAGAAGCCTTTACGTCCAAGGAGACACAAGAAACAGACAGTCATGACAGTCTTAGATGTGTCAAAATACTCACCCACTCCAGCGGAGTGACTATATTTTCCTAACATTCGAGGAAGGAAAATCTCATGTCTAAAAATGTTACATCTCCTCCTCCTTCATATACATACATACATATGTATGTATTTGTATGTCTCTGTGTATGACATATATGGTTATGTACAATGACTTGTGGTGATGGTGGTAAAAATGTGGAGGAGATGTTTTTAAAAAGGAGAATGATCCTTTGGAAGTCAAGGGAGGAACAAATTAGAAAAAAGAACCATAGAAATAAACTGCACCTCCTTAACGAGAGGGACACATATGATACAGGCACAGGAGAACTGTAGATACTGCCCATGTTACTTGAAGGACATGTTTCTAAGAGTACTTCAGTTAGTAGCTTAATGAACAAAAGTAAAATTTACATTCTTTTTTTGAATCGGAGTCTCACTCCGTCACCCAGGCTGGAGTATAGCGGCATGCTCATGGCCACTGCAGCATTGACCTACTGGTCTCAGGAGATCCTTCCTCTTCAGTCTTCCAAGCAGCTGGAACTATGGACGCATGCCACCATGCCTGGCTAGGTTTTTTTGTGCATGATTTATTGTAGAGACGAGGTCTCACCAAGTTGCCCAGGCTGGTCTCGAACCCATGGGCTCAGGCAATTCCCTCACCTCGGCCTCCCAAAGTGCTGGGATGACAGGCTTGAGCCACTGTGCCTGGCCAAAATTTACATGGTTATACATTTCTGCCAACACGAAGCATATCTCCAAATTATCTTTGCCTTGTCCTCATCACATCTGAGAAAGGAAATGTCAGGATCTGAGACGTGAGTCCACATTGTCCTCATGAGTGAGAACAGGGCTTTTTCAGAAAGAGTTCTACAAAGATAGTCAGCCCAGGGCTGCGGAAGAAATGGTGTGTTGTTACTCACATGAGAATCCAATACCAAGTCGTTGCATAGTCTTCAAACACTTTCAATCCAAGAGTCCTTGCATCAAGAATTTTATTGATACCACTGAAATCAAAGAAGGAAAAAGAAATCAATTATTTCTTGACCACCACCGGGTAGAAATGTCCTCGTTATGATAAAAGAGATTTTGCAAGATGCTGTTAAAACATATTTTTAGAAACCATCTATCAGTAGTGGCTCTTTTCCTGGCCACAATAATACACCAGGTGCCACATCAGCAAGCCTGCACAGGGAACCTTGGCTGCACCCAGAGAGAACACGGTTTCAAGAACGGTGGAAGTCCCTCTGCACGGGAATGCAGCATGCCCTCTGTATGACAGAAACCTCCCTGTAAGAAACGAGTGTCAGTGATGAGTTCAGCTTTCAACTTGCAGAATCCACAGTGAAGAATGAACATCGGTGCCCTCCCTAGTCATCTGGCAGCACGGTCCAGCAGGAGGTGAGGCAGCACACACTGGAGCGCAGTGTCTGTCGTGTCCGGCTGGGCGAGTTACCCGGGAACACCCTCACCCAGCACCGCACTGCTGTCCCCCTTCTGTGCCCACAGAAACTGTTCCCTCTTCCCCCAAGGAACCACTATCCCGACTCTTGTGGCAGTAATTCCCCAAGTTGCATTTTTAGCTTCACCCCTTTTTTAAGGCTAAAAGGAGCTTTATTAGTATCCTTCTGTTAGACTACACTGAAACAGCCCACGTATTTTACTGATTGGAGGAGACATTTTCTCTAATCTCTCAATTAACAATGATGGGTAAAGTGCATGTTGTATAAGACATTTTAATATTCTGAATTTAACAAATTGACTCACCTAAGTGGGAAAAAAGTCTAAGAAAATGAATAGTTCAAAGTTAAAAAAAAAAAGAAATGGTAGGAGAAAATTTAAAGAAAAGGCAATGAATATTTACTTTAAAAATTAGAAATTTCTGAAAAGCCAGAAAAGTAACGTCTCCTATAATCTCACCACTATTTACCATTTATAGATGCATTGCAAGGCAATTTAATGTAGCTCTGCTTGTTTTTGAATTTTATATCCATGAAATCACATTTGTCTTATTATTTGGAGAGTTCTCGCACATAGCTTTATATTTTTTCATCCGTGTTGCTATTATATTCAAATATGCAGGAGCGCCACTATACTACTTGCACTGCTAAAGGCTTCCAAGAACGAGAAATCCATTTTAGAATCTCTTTCTTTTTTATTTTTAATCAACAACTGAGCTATGCTGTGATTTTGAGACGTGCTGTGTGTGATTCTGTCTGTGTCTGCACATAGATATGCGTGTGCGCCCAGGGCAATCTATTTCCTGGTAACCTGGGCGCCACAAGTGTACAACCGAGGGACACAGTAAATTGACTGCATTGTAGTTAGTATACAGACATTTGATTTGACCACTGCATTTCCTTTTGTCACATTTCTACGCCTACTGATAAAGAAGATTTAACCATTTTGAAAAGCATCAGGCCGGGCTTGGTGGCTCAGCCTGTCATCCCAGCACTTTGGGAGGCTGAGGTGAGAGGACTGCTTAAGCCCGTGGGTTCGAGACCAGCATGGGCAACTTGGCAATACCTCAACTCTACAGTGAATCAAAAAAATTAGCCGGGCACGGTAGCACACGCCTATAGTTCCAGCTGCTTGGAAGACTGAAGTGGAAGGATAATCAGAGTCCAGCAGGTCGACACTGGGGTGGCCGTGCATGTGCCACTGCACTCTAGCCTGGGCAATGGAGTGAGACTCCGGCTCAAAAAAAGCAAAAAAAAAACCATTATTCCAACTGATTTGGTTTCTCCGTTACACACTTTTCTTAATGAATATATACCATTTCTCTGATCCACCACAATGGCATGAATATTTCACAACAGTGTGTCACTCTTTCCCTGTAATCTTGAACCTCATAGGCACGTTAGTCTTGGGTGCAATCCTAGGCTGCACCAAAACTGGAAACAGGAAAGTAAACACACATACTTTGCAGCATCCCTGAGTTCCACAACACTTCTTGTCTTCCCATTTCCATCTTGAAATAGCACCTTGCTTCCTATTGTTAAAGTGCCATTGTTAGTGGAGAAGTCAGGGAAACATCTCTGGAGAACTGAAAATAAATAAATTAAAATTATAGTAATCACTTTGCTCCTTCTTTCATCATGCCCTCTGTGTCTTAAGACTTCTGTTATTTATCATCCAGGTTTTGCAGGGTAAGCAAATGTCTCAATATTGAGACTTAACTGCTCAAAACTGGATGATCTGAAGACTTTCTGATGGTTCTAAGACTGAAATCGAAAGTCAGTATGATCACCACCTGAAGCTGCATTCTAAACTTGATTATTTTATACATGATATGAAGGGGGACACCCCAAAAAACAGAATTATCTTTTGGAGGGCGGGCCCCTTGTGGTACAGGCTTTTCCCGCTAGGTAAGTGCTCTAGGAACCCATGGGCATCAGCGTACCAGCTAGCATTGTTGTGAGATGCTTCATGGAAGTAACTAACGTCTGGAGTGGCAAACAGGTGACTGGTTCTCCCTCCGTGACAACGCACCTGCCCACATGATATGCCGAGTGTTCAGCAGTTTTTGACCAAAAATGGTGTGACCCCCGTGCCCTGCCTTCCCTGTTCACCCAATCTTGCCCCAAATAACTTTTTGGGGGGGTTTCCCCAGAGGAAAAAAGTCCTCAAAGGGAAACATTTTGCCAACGTGGAAGAGTTGAAATGAAAAACAGCAGAAGGGCCAAAAGACATCAACACTGACAAGTTCAAAAACTGTTTTGAGCAGTAGAAAGAGCGTCTCAATGGGTATATGGTATCACATAGCAAGTACTTGGAAAGCGACTGAAATTTAAATATGTTTGAATAAATACACAATGTAAATATATAAATTCCAGGGCTTTTGGGGTCCCCCTCACATATTCATCAAGTCATCATAAATAAGATGCACAACACGGGTTTTAAAAGAGTAACCCTGACACATATCACTCACGGTAAACATTTTAATAGAATGGCCACTTCAACTTGCATGACTGGATGAGTTTAGTTTTGTTATGAAAAAGAGATATGGGCCGGGCTTGGTGGCTCAGCCTGTAATCTCAGCACTTTGGAAGGCTGAGGTGAGTAGATTGCCTGAGCCTGTGGGTTCGAGACCAGCACGGACAACTTGGCGAGACTTCATCTCTACAATAAATAAAAAATTAGCTGGGCATGGTAGTGCACGCCTGTAGTTCCGGCTACTTGGAAGGCTGAGGCAGAAGGATTGCCGGAGCCCAGCAAGTCGACTCTGGGGTGGCTGTGAGCGTGCCACTGCCCTCCAGCGTGGGCAATGGAGTGAGACGCTAGCTCAAAAAAAAAAAAAAAAAAAAGAAGACGATATTAGGTACTCCTTGTGTGAAGCTTTACCAGTTGAAGATTAGTGAATAATACCTTGGGAAATAAGAACCAGTTCAAACTTTAGGCTATACCAAGAAAACTGAATTTTTGTTTGTGAATTTTTAACATTGTGTCTCCCAGTTTTTTCATTTAAAGTTTTTTTTTTTTTTTTTGGTGAGACTGGAAGTGGTCATTCCAAAGCTATCAAAAGAGGCCTACACTTTGTAGACTTTCTGAGAAGAGTCAAGCCACTGTCTCTATGTTCCTATTTTCATTAGAATCTTTGTCTCTTTGCAAACCTATTTCTAAAAATATTTCAAAATCCCAGTCTGAAATGAAGAAGTAAGGAAGATCAGAAATAAGCCATTTTCAAATTTTTGTCTTCTAAGAAGCCCCACCGATTCACAGGGGTTCATATAAAACTATTCAAGCAGTTGATGTAGGGAAAGGAGAAACATGTCTTTATAAAGCCTTTCCCGATTTCCTGGCTCGAGTGAACTCTTGACCACCTGGTCCAGCTTCTGTGGCACTCACGACACAGCTGGGTTTCTGGAGCTCTTCCGTTCCTCTCCCTCCTGTGGCAGATTCCCCTGGTGGCCTCTGCCAGCCGTTTCAACTTCCTCTCAATCCAGTAAGGTTTCCGCCCCCATCGCTCCACGGGAATTGTCCTCCGTGTGATCCCAACGACCTCCCAATTGTCAACATGGCCAGATATTTGTCACTCTCCATCCTGCTTAAACTCAGCACCCAGCACAGTGCTTGGCACGTGGTAGAAATCCTAAGATGTGCTGTCCCATGAGTGAGCTTTTCTGAGACATCCCTGCCTTGCTGAAACTCTCATTCCTTGGCTGGGCTGGCTCACACAGCCAGATTCTATCCTGCTCTTTCTTCTTTCTGTGTCCTTTTCCTCCTTCTGCTCCTTAAATATGAGTGTTCCCATGTAGAGGGCCCCCCGATCTTACTCCACATGTATTTTTGGGTAATCTCACACAATCTGTTAGCTTCCATTGCTAAATATGTTTATTACATAAAGAGCAGAGAACAAAACAAAGAAGATGCAAAACTATACACACCCTTCCACTCACAGTGAACTACAGAAATATTTTGGTGAATTTCCTTCCAGTCTTTCTTCTACAAAAGAAATTTCCTTTGGGGGGGAGGGGGTGGAGTCAAAATCATACAATGCTTTCCACTTGTTTCTCTCTATTAATATTTCTTATTTACTTTTATAAATTCTTTAACGAGTAAATTTTATTAGGGGAATTCTATCCCACTGAGTACTATGTTTAATCTCCTGTTAGGAGGGGTGCAGTTGATGGCAGTGTCTACCTTAGGGTCTCCCTCACTAGACGGTGAGGAACTATTCTTTCTTCATTTCTGCTTCCAATGTACATTTTTTTCCTTGTGTGATTCAACCCAACTGTGCTTTTAAGGGCAGGGATTAAGTCTTATGCTTTTATACCTATTTTCTCTTTGGTGACCTTGGTGACCAATGATTTATTTTCACTCTTCTGCTTAAAAATCATAAAAATTAAACATTTTTTTAATTGTTAAAAATTATAACAGTAATTTTGGCCACAGACACTTTTTTTGGCCAAGAGCTCGCTGGTAAATGCTGGTGCTTGTGGGACCAATGTCTTTGCTTCGGGGCCTTTTATGACCCAGAGCAGAGTGATGGGCACATTGAAGACATGTGTTTGGTGACAGCGACCTCAATGGTACTTGACTCTCTCCTCAAACCTACTATTGTCTTTCAGAAAAAGGGAGAGATCGCCCCGAGTTTTGCTACTCTCCAAACAATCACTTAACATTTTGATGTATTTCTTTCCAATCTTTTCTTGGAATTTTTTGGGTTTATTTTAATTGATACATGCTTATTACTATAGGAGTATAAGAGTTTGTATTTTCTGCAATATTATAACATATACGTATGTGTTATTCTAACACATTTAATAACTCTAAAATATGAATTATTAGAATTATTAAATATAATATTAGAATAGAGGTGTTTATTAACGTGTTTCTCTTTTCTTTCTTTTCTTGGTTACTTTTAGCAAACAATGTGATGGACATTTTTTGTAAAGATCTTTCTCTGTAGTGAGGATTACATTCATAAGATAGGAAAAAGCGGTTATTTTCTTCTAAACAGAGTATTGCTTTAAATGAAGTTTACAATTTTAAAGAAATAATATATTAAATCCTTCAGAAGATATATAAGTATTTCAAAGTAAAAAGACAACTATATGCACTCCCCCCGTCAATCTGTGAACAAACTTTTTGGCTAAATTCAGGAATGGGTGGGTAGGAATGTGTCTGTGGGTATGCTTACATATGTTTGTAAAGCACCAAAGAATAGTATGCCTAAGCTGCTAAAAAATCAATTTTCAATCAATCGTATGTGTGTATGTAGCCAAACTCCCCCAATCAGAGTGCTCTGGTCAAAATATCCCCGGCTTGAGTTAGGAGATGGGCATGAGCATTTACTTTCCTCCTCATCAACTCTTGGACCCTGGGCCAGGAGTAAGACCATTCTCGGCGTCCGTTTCATAACTGTTAAGTCAGGGAACTCTTCTTGATAGACTGTATGTTTCTAAAGCGAAATAATTGCCACTTACAAGGTCTACTTGGAAAAATCGCTGCTGGGCAGTCATCATCCAGTAAAAGTTGCGGGAGAGACTAGAACAAAAGGAAGAGCGTGTCAGCATTTCAAAGGCTAGGCGATGGCTACTTTTGCTGTCAAGAACAAAACGTTGTCCTTTAAGAACTTAGCTCCATAATAATCCCATTGCCGCAAATTACTTTCCATAAGAATGACAATTATGTCCTAGCTGGGATTCAATCAAATCAACAATAATAAAACCAGACTCTGACACCGAGGCACCCTTTTGAAGGTGCGTATCATTGTTTTAGACACATGCAGAGTCTCAAATCCTTCCATTTTTGTCGTTGTTGTTGTTCTGGAAAGACAGCATCTTCTCTCATTTGAAAACCATTAACATGACTTGACATAATGATGATTTAGAATTCTCTTAGAAATATTAAACCTAGGCTGGGGTTTGGGGTTTTGAAAATGAACTGTTCTCAAGCTGGGCTTGGAAGTAAAATTTCACTTGTTACTAAGTTGCCATGGGCTTCATCACCACATTAATGAAATGGTGACTGCAAATGACATTAACTCCTAGATCTAGAGCAAAAAATCCCTCCAGGTAGAGAATTTATTGGTGTCAGGGAATAGTTGAATCTAACTTACCAGACTTAAGATTTCGCAACGCTGCAAGCCCACAAAATGACATGCTATACCTGGCGTGTGTTTTTATGAATGTACATGTGCGTTTCTGTTTTAATGGAATGTTGCCTTTAGTAATCATTTCCTAGAAGATTTGGGAGTTTGTCCAGCAGCAAATGCTCATGTTACAATTGAGACGTGAGCAAACGTTAAATTACTCTCTAGTTTTAGGCTTAAACACACACATACCTTCGCAGGCTGAGCAGTGGTCTTACAAAACTGACGGTAGTCTTCCCAGTAGCTTTTGTCTTTTGTGTACAAAAGTTGCATTTCCATATAGGTTAGAAACTTTTCTGGGCACTTGGAGACACAGATCTGTGAAGGAACATAGTGATGGGAACTGAATTCAGTTGAACAAACCAGAAAATATCTTTAAGGTTAGACTTCTAAATTATTCACTACAATAAAAAGCAACACACTGTTTTCCATTTTAAAAAGCCTAAACTAGTTTTCTAGTCTTGTAAAAATACGAAGCTTCATGCACTAGTTACCAATCTCTATTCTCTGGCTTTGTGACATAAACATTGTGTTAAAATAACAAGAACTTTGGCCAGGAGCATTGGCTTATGTCTACAACCCCAGCACTTGGGAAGCCCAGGTGAACAGATTGCCTGGGGCCAGGGATTCAAGACCAGCCTGGGCAACTTGGCAAGACCTCATCTCTACAGTACATCAAAAAATTAGGCCAGGCTCAGTGGCTCACCCTGTAATCCCAGCACTTTGGGAGGCCGAGGTGAGTGGACTGTCTGAGCCCGCAGGTTTGACACCTGCGCGGGCAACTTGGTGAGACCTCATCTCTACAATAAAATACAAAATAGCAGAGCATGGTAGCACGCCTGTATTTCCGGCTACTTGGAAGGCTGAGGCGGAAGGATCGCCGGAGCCCAGCAGGTTGACGCTGGGGTGGCCATGAGTATATGTGCCCCTGTACTCTAGCCTGGGCAAAGGAGTGAGACTCCAACTCAAAAAAAAAAAAAAATTAACTGGGCATGGTGGTACGTGCCTGTAGTTCCACCTACCTGGAAGGCTAAGGCAGAAGGATTGCCTGAGCCCAGCAGGTCGAGGCTGCCATGGCCGTGAGGTTGCCACCACACTCCAGCCTGGGTGACAGAGTGAGACTCTGACTCAAAAAACAAACAAAAACCAAAAAAACCAAGATCTTGCATAGTGATAGACTTATTTTTAACTTTTGATTCTGAGATTATTGCAGACACACATGCAGTTGTGAGAAATAGGAGAGAGGGCACATTTCTTTTGCTCTGTTTCCCTCAACAGTAATAACTTGTGTAACTATAACACAATACCACTACCAGGAAACTTATATTCTTACTGCTATCATCTGGATATCTGTCACTCCAAGCCTCATGTTGAAATGTGATCCCCGGTGTTGAAGGTGGAACTCAATGGGAGGTGATCAGGTTCATGGGGTGGACCACTCCTGAATAGCTTGGTGCTGTCCTCATGGTAATGAGGGTGTTCTCGGTCTGTTAGCTTCCTCAGAACTGATCGTTGATAAGAGCTGAGCACCCCTTGCCACCTTGTGTCCTTTCTCGCCACGTGATCTTACACACACGGGTGCTACTCTGGGTTTCCCCATGAGCGGAAACAGCCTGAAGCCTCAACAGAAGCAGATGCAGACGCTATGCTTTCTGCACAGCCTACAAAACCACGAGCCAGGCAAATCTCGTTTCTTTGTAAACTACCCAGCCATAAACTATTCTTTATGGTGACCCCACATGGACTAGACAGTTATAATCCACAAACCTTATTCAGATTTCTCCAGTTTAACATTCACTCGTGTGTGTGCTTGTGTACATGAGTGATTCTGTGCAATTTTGTTACATGTATCAATTTGTGTGGCCACTGCCATGGGGCAATGATGGACTTTTAATAAAATACGATTTTTAGACTCAGAAGATAGGGGTATAATTTGTTTTTTTTTTTTTTTGAGTTGGAGTCTCACTCTGTCGCCCAGACTGGAGTGCAGCGGCTGCTCCCGGCCACCGCAGCCTCGACCTGCTGAGATTCAGCGATCCTTCCGCCTTAGCCTTCCAAGTAGCCGGAATTACAGGCACGCGTTACCACGCCCCGCTGATTTTTTTGATTTATTGTAGAGATGAGGTCTCACTGCCCAGGCGGGTCTCGAACTCGCGGGCTCAGGCAATCTACTCACCTCAGTCTCCCAAAGGTGCAGGATTACAGGCTGAGCCACCGAGCCCGGCTGATAAGGGTATAATTTAAGATTAACTTTGTCTGTATAGTTTACGCATATTCAGAGTTAGAATCTTGCTTCCCTTCCTGCATATGAATCAAATGGTGATTAAAAATATTCTGAATATTGAACACTTATGTCACTCATAATTACCAGTGCCGGTGAATTCTCAATGACAATTCTCAAAATATAATTGGGGTGTTATCACCATAAGTAATGAACAAAATTAGGACTATTAGCCGTTATCAATCATTATTACAATCATTTACCAACACCATCTAGACGTGGGCAGAGAGGTCGTCTAAGCAATTTTTTTTTGAGTCGGCGTCTCACTCTGTCACCCAGACTGGAGTGCAGCGGCCGCTCCCGGCCACCGCAGCCTCGACCTGCCGAACTCCGGCGATACTTCTGCCTCGGCCTTCCAAGTAGCCGGAATTACAGACATGTGCTATCATGCCCGCCTGATTTTTTGATTTATTGTAGAGATGAGATCTCGCTGCCCAGGCGGGTCTCGAACCTGCGGGCTCAGGCAATCCTCAGCCTGCCAAAGGGGTGGGATTACAGGCTGAGCCACAAGCCCGGCTCTAAGCAATTATTTTACATCAGTGAACTTTAGGGGCCTATCAGTGCCAAACCAGATCGCTGTGCTAGTTCATGGAGCCATCATAGAGTGACTGAGATCCAATTAGTAACTCCACAGAGAGAGGGCGGGATCAGAGAAGATGCACATTACTGGTTTTGTTTTTGTTTATAATTTAAAAAGAAAGGTCAGATGAAGGCAGGTGAGCTGCGCTCAATCCTTGCAAGTCTCTCCATCGCCATCAATTCCTCCTTCTGAAATCTTCCTCTGCCCTCACATGCTCCCTCTCCCGACTGTACTTGGGAAATCGTTCTCACTGACCAATCTGTAGCTCAAGTCCCACTGGCAGTTAGGGAAAAACACTGCTGCTCAGCTGAGATTTCTTTTCCATCTTTTGGGTCATGTTTCAGCTGCACACAAGAGCACTTGGCGTTGACCCCACAGCCAGGTTCACTGGAAAATGACTAAACGGATGCCTCAAATCTCACAGCTAATATTGTTTCACAGCAGCAGCAGTCCAGTTTCTTCTAGAAGTTTTCACAGGGTGAACAATCTGTCTCTATATTCACACCTGCAGATGGATTTTCTCTTTCTCAGTCTCTCATCCACACACATGCACAGACACACATGCACGCACACACACTCACACTTCTTTAGAGGAAATATTGGTGGAGGTCTCATAGTTATCTTTCTAAAAAAATTGAAGAAATATTTAGGGACATTCACAGCATGCAGCATACCTACATTTTGGGGAAGAAGGTTAAGGGTATTATCAATATAAATGTCAAAGTTTACTCTGATTGGAGCTAAGCTGAATAATTCATTAACCAATTAGGAGATACTTTACAGACATTTAAACTTTAACGCTGTATTCATATGACATTGAAACACAACTGAACTACTTCTCCTATTGGATACATTTAAGCAGATCATAAAAGTGTGTGCTGAAAGCACTAAGGTTTTCACAGATTTTAATAATGGTGGGTATTACCGAGTAGAGACCATGAAGATTCTGCATTTATAAACACACAAATACACACACACACACACACACACACACACACACACACAATGTACACCACCCATGTAAAAGTGCTGTGTTTGCAACACATAAAAGAAAGCAATTAGAAAGGTAAAAAAGTAGTTTCTTAAAGAGAAACACATCAAATTTCATTCTAGACACAAATGAGCTATTAAAAAACAATACAGCAACAGCTCTGTACTTTCTCCCTCTATCAGACCAATTTGTTCACTTCAAATAGGGTGCTGATTAGTAGCAATCAACATGTAATTAGCTAAAATGAAGGTCACATTGAGGTTAGGTATTCTAATTGATCACAGTCTGTCCTTTAAGTGCTCGTGACACAAGTCTAGACCACGCTGACAGTTCACAAAAACGCAATGCACAAAAATGTGACTCGGTCCAGTACAGACCCCACTGCCTGCTGACAAACTGCAAGTCTGCAGTGTTGGCAGCTAAAATATATTCTGACTCCGTTCCGTGTATCTCTGCACCACAAAGAGGCGCTTTGCATGCAGTTCTGTGCTACTATTTTTATTTCTTTAATTCAGACACGTTTAACACTCAGTTACAAATTAGAATTTGGTGACTTGGAGTATGAGTTACAGTGAAGGCTGAAATACTACATGTGTTGTGAAGAAAAATGATCTAGAAAGCCATTTCTAGATAAAAATAACAAAAAATAAAATAACAAAAAAGCATAATGCTCCGGTTGTCTTGCTGTTTCGACATAGGAATGATGAGTTTGTATAGCATAGTGGATAAATTCTTGAACTGGGAGTAGGAAGATGTGAATTCTCTCATGCTTTCATTCATTTAATAAATATTTGTTTATCACCTACTCTGATCCTGTTCCAGGTCCTGAGGACAGAATCCGTAGTGAACAGAACTAAGAAAAATCCTCACCCTCAAGCAATTCATCTTCTGCTAGGGGGAGACAGGTAACAAATAATAAGCAAAATATTTGCTCTAAGATGGTAATAAATGGAAGTAAATAAGATGGTAAACAAAAAATATGGCAAGAAAGGGGGCTAGAAAGAGAGAAGAGTGGATGGAGGATTCTAAGTTTACATAGGTAGTCACAGGGTCGCTTCTTACTACAAGTAACTCGAGAAACTACGAGGGCAGTGAAGCAAAGAAGAAACAAAATTGAACTTATATGTACCTGAATCCCATTGGCTGCTGGGTGGCAAAGAGCCCACAAAGGGCACAAAGGCAAGGGCAGAGGCAGAAAGACCCATCAAGCGGTCACCGAGTGAATCTACAAAAGACTTATCAAAGCCTCCTTGAGCTAGGGAAGGGGTGGTGAGAAATAGTTTGTTCCAGAGTATATTGTGAAGGCGGGTCGAAGGAAATAGCTGACAGCTTTCAAACATGGGTGTGTGAAAGAGAAAACAAGGTTAATTCTAGGGATTTTGGAGCTGACGTTAATGAAAACAGGGAAGACTTGGGTGGGAACAGTTTTAGGGACAAAGTCAGAGATTAGGAACTCCGTTTGGGAT